TAATACAGGTAACGAGTGGAGGACAGAGGAGCCTCTTAAAGAAGAAGTTACAGGTCTGTGAGAGCCAGAAATCTTGCTTGTTTGTAGGTGACCAAATACTTATTTTCCACCATAATCTGCAAATAAATTCATTAAAAATCCTACAATGTGATTTTCTGGATTTTTTTCCCTCAATTTGTCTGTCATTGTTGACGTGTACCTATGATGGAAATTACAGGCCTCTCTCATCTTTTTAAGTGGGAGAACTTGCACAATTGGTGGCTGACTAAATACTTTTTCCCCCCACTGTATAACCTTCAGAACAGAGTCCAAGAGCTCAATTTTCAGTGAGACCATAACACACTCTATATTTGCTGTGGTGGTTTAGAACTTTGAATGCAGCAGCGAACATACGAGTGCACAGATGCTATTTCAAACATAAATGTTTTAGATGCGACCCAGGGATTGGTTTAAGGCACTGCCTGAGACAGTGGCGTGGTGCGTTGTGGGGGGATGGGGCAGGGTGCATTATGGGAAATCAATTGTACACTGAGGGAGGCTGGCGCTGTAAGTTGATTTTGTGCTTATGATAGAGAGGGAGCTGGAGAGAGAGGGGGCAATACAGAGGAGGAGAGAGAGGGAAAGAGGAGAGAGGACGAGAGAGAGGGAGTTAGAGAGAGAGAGAGGGGATGAGAGAGAGTTAGAGAGGACAGAGCGAGAGGGAATGGAGAGAGAGCAATACAGAGGAGATGCGAGGATGAGCGAGAGATGGAATACGAGCAGGAATACAAGCCATGAAACGGGGATAGAGAGGAGAAACACAGACGGAGTTAGAGAGAGAAAGGGAGAAAGAGCGAAAGAACAAGACCGAGGTGGAGAGATACAAAGGGAGGGCGAGAGAGAACATCTTCCCAGAGAGAGAGAAAGAGGCAGACAAAGATTGAAAGAACAAGAGACCGAGATGGAGAGAGATACAGAGACAGAGGGAACATCTTCCCGACTCCAGAGAGAAAACAACAACAGCCCACACCCTGGCTGGAATCTCCTCCCTGTGCCATGTGCTTCCTTTGGGAGTGATTGTCAAGGCTCAGATTACAAGGCTTGTAGACAGACCCAAATGGTGCCCTATTCCCTGCATAGTGCACTAGTTTTGAACAGGGCCCATAGGTAGTCAAAGGTAGTGCCCTATAATGAGGATAGGGTACCATTTTGGACCCAGATTTAGATAGACCCACTGGTAAATAAAGGCAACAACATGTTCTATGATTCCTCCCTGAGTCTCCATTGTATCCACGAAGGAGTGTAATTGACAACCACAGTCACTCTAAGGCTGAAATGTAGATAAAGATGTTCAAATTTAGTTACGTTACAGCCTTATTCTAAAATGGATAAAAAACAAAAACAATTGTCATCAATCTACACATAATACCCCATAATGACAAAGCAAAACAGATTTTTATAATAAAAAAACAGAAATATCCCATTTACATATAGTTGAAGTCGGACGTTTACATACACTTAGATTGGAGTCATTAAAACTTGTTTTTCAACCCCTCCACAAATTTCTTAACAAACTATAGTGTTGGCAGGTCGGTTAGGACATCTACTTTGTGAATGACACAAGTAATTTTTCCAACAATTGTTTACAGACAAATTATTTAACTTATAATTCACTGTTTTACAATTCCAGTGGGTCAGAAGTTTACATACAGTGGGGAGAACAAGTATTTGATACACTGCCGATTTTGCAGGTTTTCCTACTTACAAAGCATGTAGAGGTCTGTAATTTTTATCATAGGTACACTTCAACTGTGAGAGACGGAATCTAAAACAAAAATCCAGAAAATCACATTTTTAAGTAATTCATTTGTATTTTATTCCATGACATAAGTAGTTGATACATCAGAAAAGCAGAACTTAATATTTGGTACAGAAACCTTTGTTTGCAATTACAGAGATCATACGTTTCCTGTAGGTCTTGACCAGGTTTGCACACACTGCAGCAGGGATTTTGGCCCACTCCTCCATACAGATCTTCTCCAGATGCTTCAGGTTTCGGGGCTGTCGCTGGGCAATGCAGACTTTCAGCTCCCTCCAAAGATTTTCTATTGGGTTCAGGTCTGGAGACTGGCTAGGCCACTCCAGGACCTTGAGATGCTTCTTACGACCCATCTTCAATGCTCTTACTGAGGGAAGGAGGTTGTTGGCCAAGATCTCGCGATACATGGCCCCATCCATCCTCCCCTCAATACGGTGCAGTCGTCCTGTCCCCTTTGCAGAAAAGCATCCACAAAGAATGATGTTTCCACCTCCATGCTTCACAGTTGGGATGGTGTTCTTGGGGTTGTACTCATCCTTCTTCTTCCTCCAAACACGGCGAGTGGAGTTTAGACCAAAAAGCTATATTTTTGTCTCATCAGACCACATGACCTTCTCCCATTCCTCCTCTGGATCATCCAGATGGTCATTGGCAAACTTGAGACGGGCCTGGACATGCGCTGGCTTGAGCAGGGGGACCTTGCGTGCGCTGCAGGATTTTAATCCATGACGGCGTAGTGTGTTACTAATGGTTTTCTTTGAGACTGTAGTCCCAGCTCTCTTCAGGTCATTGACCAGGTCCTGCCGTGTAGTTCTGGGCTGATCCCTCACCTTCCTCATGATCATTGATGCCCCACGAGGTGAGATCTTGCATGGAGCCCCAGACCGAGGGTGATTGACCGTCATCTTGAACTTCTTCCATTTTCTAATAATTGCGCCAACAGTTGTTGCCTTCTCACCAAGCTGCTTGCCTATTGTCCTGTAGCCCATCCCAGCCTTGTGCAGGTCTACAATTTTATCCCTGATGTCCTTACACAGCTCTCTGGTCTTGGCCATTGTGGAGAGGTTGGAGTCTGTTTGATTGAGTGTGTGGACAGGTGTCTTTTATACAGGTAACGAGTTCAAACAGGTGCAGTTAATACAGGTAATGAGTGGAGAACAGGAGGGCTTCTTAAAGAAAAACTAACAGGTCTGTGAGAGCCGGAATTCTTACTGGTTGGTAGGTGATCAAATACTTATGTCATGCAATAAAATGCAAATTAATTACTTAAAAATCATACAATGTGATTTTCTGGATTTCTGTTTTAGATTCCGTCTCTCACAGTTGAAGTGTACCTGTGATAAAAAATTACAGACCTCTACATGCTTTGTAAGTAGGAAAACCTGCAAAATCGGCAGTGTATCAAATACTTGTTCTCCCCACTGTACACTAAGTTGAGTGTGCCTTTAAACAGCTTGGAAAATTCCAGAAAATGATGTCATGGCTTTTGAAGCTTCTGATAGGCTAATTGACATCATTTGAGTCAATTGGAGGTGTACCTGTGGATGTATTTCAAGGCCTACCTTCAAACTCAGTGCCTCTTTGCTTGACATCATGGGAAAATCAAAAGAAATCAGCCAAGACCTCAGAAAAAAGATTGTAGACCTCCACAAGTCTGGTTCATCCTTGGGAGCAATTTCCAAACACCTGAAGTTACCACGTTCATCTCTACAAACAATAGTACGCAAGTATAAACACCATGGGACCACGCACCCGTCATACTACTCAGGAAGGAGATGCGTTCTGTCTCCTAGAGATGAACGTACTTTGGTGCGAAAAGTGCAAATCAATCCCAGAACAACAGCAAAGGACCTTGATGCTGGAGGAAACAGGTACAAAAGTATCTATATCCACAGTAAAACATGATGCTGTCACCCCCATGCTTCACGATAGGGATGGTGCCAGGTTTCCTCCAGACGTGACGCTTGGCATTCAGGCCAAAGTGTTCAATCTTGGTTTCATCAGACCAGAGAATCTTGTTTCTCATGGTTTGATAGTCCTTTTGGTGCCTTTTGGCAATCTCCAAGCGGGCTGTCATGTGCCTTTTACTGAGGAGTGGCTTCCGTCTGACCACTCTACCATAAAAGTCTGATTGGTGGAGTGCTGCAGAGATGGTTGTCCTTCTGGAAGGTTCTCCCATCTCCTCAGAGGAACTATGGAGCTCTGTCAGAGTGACCATAGGGTTCTTGGTCACCTCACTGACCAAGGCCCTTCTCCCCCGATTGCTCAGTTGGGTCGGGCGGCCAGCTCTAGGAAGAGTCTTGGTGGTTCCAAACTTCTTCCATTTAAGAATGATGGGAGGCCACTGTGTTCTTGGGGACTTTCAATGCTGCAGAAATGTTTTTGTACCCTTCCCCAGATCTGTGCCTCGACACAATCCTGTCTCGGAGCTCAACAGACAATTCCTTCGACCTCATGACTTGGTTTTTGCTCTGACATGCACTGTCAACTGTGGGACCTTATATAGACAGGGGTGTGCCTTTCCAAATCATGTCCAATCAATTTAATTTAACACAAGTGGACTCCAATCAAGTTGTAGAAACATCTCAAGGATGATCAATTAAAAACAGGATGCACCTGAGCTCAATGTCGAGTCTCATAGCAAAGGGTCTGAATACTTATGTAAATAAGGTATTTCTGTTTTTTATTTGTAATACATTTGCTAAAATTTCTAAAAACCTGTTTTCACTTCGTCATTATGGTGTGTTGTGTGTAGATTGATGAGGATTTTATTTTTTAAATCCATTTAAGAGTAAGGCTGTAACGTAACAAAATGTGGTCTGAGTACTTTCCGAATGCACTGTATTTCCTATCTATTTTATTTTTGATGAAGATTTTTCCATTCTTGATTTGCAATTTCAATTCACTTCCTGAAATAATGTTGGGTTGTTTTCTCCCATGGAAATTCATATAGTTTCAGGATACATTTCACTGTGTGTGAATGTTCTCTTCCATAAAAATGTATAGGGCCGGTTTCCCGGACACATAGTAAACCTAGTCCTGGGCTAAAAAACATTTTCAATGGAGATACTCCATTGAGTAAGCTTTTTAGTCCAGTACTAGGCTTAATCTGTGTCCGGGAAACCGGCCCATTGCGTTTGAGGATGGTTTTGACTGAATGTGTGTGGTTGTTCTCTCCCACAGAAGTTCATAGAGTTTGAGGATGCGTTGGAGGGGGAGAAGAAGGACCTGCAGACTCATGTGGAGAGCCTGGAACTGCAGGGGAAACAGCTGGAGCTCAAGACCAAGAACTACTCTGACCAGAGTGAGTATAGACTACTGTTACTGCTCAGAACTAGAACTACTCTGACCAGAGTAAGTATTAGGGTGTTTTCACATTTGGTCCCTTTCTGACAATTTTTGTGAACTCAGTGCAGTTCACTTAATTTTTTGCCCAGTGTGAACACTCAAAAGGAACTCAGACCCCTCAAAAGGGACCCTAAAGCGAACCGAACTCGAGAGGTGGTCAGTTCGGTTCACTTGAATTCCTCGGTCCAGTTCCCTTTTTTAGGGCAATGTGAACAGAAAGCTACCCAGGTTCGCTTGTCATTATTCCCGCACCACATACTAGAATACTGCAACACCGTTTCCCCTGCCATAACCCCTCACATTGGTGACACAAAAGAGAGAAGATGATTATCTGCCGTTTCGCATAATTTTTTGTGTGTTTTTAGTTCTGATTATATGTTTGCAATATGTGATCTATAAAGAGATATATAAAGAGAGCTTCATAACCTGTTTATTCGTTTGTGGGGTTTGAATAGTGTGAGAAGACAACAATATATTTGGTGAGAATCACAACATAGTGTACAAAATCAATTCTAGCTCTTAAAGGGGCAGTAGCCTACATTGGGTGTACAATTTTCAATTACAGCATTATTTAATCTGCAGTTATTGATGTGCTATTTATTCTGTTACCAATAATATTTACATGTTAATAGTATCTTCTGATTATAATTATTATATCTCATCTTTTAACTAAATGCAATCTATTAGCTTCCAAAATATACGTATATATAAATAGCTGTATGATAACACGTTCTGATGGAATGGCTTGTCCTGCACTTTGTAAAAACCCAGAGTGCATTGAGTGAATGTTGGGAAAATATCTTGGTTCCTTTCTAAACATAGCAATGTGAATGCAAAGAAGACTCGGACCACAAAATAGGTGAATTGAACTGGCAAAAGAGTTGAGTCCTCATTCAAAGTCAAGGGCAGTGTGAATACAAAGAGAACTGAGTTATTTTTTATTTTTCTTACCCCAGAGTTCACATAAGAGGACTGAGATCGGTTCTTTTAAAGGGGACTATTTGTGAAAACACCTTTAGACTTAATAACTAGAACTACTCCGACTAGAGTGAGTATAAAACTATAATAACCAGAACTACTTCGATCAGATTGAGTATAGAACTATAATAACTAGAACTACTCCGACCAGAGTGAGTATAGAACTATAATATCTACAACTACTCTGACCAGACTGAGTATAGACTTAATAACTAGAAGTACTCTGACAATTTGATTTCGACAATGCCATTTGCCCACAACATGGGATAAACAGCTGCAGGTGATTGCGCAGTATCTAATGGCATATACAGTGAGACAGATATGCCCAGCAGTGCGATGGATCAGACTTTGTTTACTTAAGACAACACATCGATTCTGCATGTGTTTTTCTGTTGCTCATCAGTCTTTAATAACTAGAACTACTCTGACCAGAGTGAGTATAGAACTATAATAACCAGAACTACTTCGACCAGAGTGAGTAGTACCTCAGTACTAAAACACTGTGTACTACTACTCAGAGCTAGAACTACTCCGACCAGAGTGAGTAGTACCTCAGTACTAAAACACTGTGTACTACTACTCAGAGCTAGAACTACTCTGACCAGAGTGAGTAGTACCTCCGTACTAAAACACTGTGTACTACTACTCAGAGCTAGAACTACTTCGACCAGAGTGAGTAGTACCTCAGTACTAAAACACTGTGTACTACTACTCAGAGCTAGAACTACTTCGACCAGAGTGAGTGTGTACTTCTCAAAACTAGCACACTGCAAGTGTGCAATAATCAGAACTAGCACAACTCAGAATTAGCACACTGTGAGTCTTCACTACTCAGAACTACCACACACACTGTGAGTCTGCATTACTCATAACTAGCACAATGTGACGGTGCACTATTGACAGCCAAGCACAAAGTGTATAGCCTAGCACACAGTGACTGAGCACTATTGTCTACCTACCATACAGTGTGGAGGACTACACATAGCCTGCTAGCACACAGTGGTTGTGCACCATGAAGAGCTTCGTATGCAATATACAAGGACACAGTATAGCCTGTTTTACACTAACCCACCATGCCCGGATGAGTCAGTGCATGTTCTGTGGTTAATATGGCTTAATAGGGTTTTAGTGCCTCTGACAGCAAACAGACTCACATATTCAATCAATCAATCAGTCAAATGTATTTATAAAGCCCTTTTTACATCAGCAGATGTCACAAAGTGCTATACAGAAACCCAGCCTAAAACCCCAAACAGCAAGCAATGCAGATGTAGAAGCACGGTGGCTAGGAAAAACTCCCTAGAAAGGCAAGAACCTACGAAGAAACTAGCCAGTCCTCTTCTGGCTGTGCCGGGTGGAGATTATAAGAGTACATGGCCATTTAACATTTACATTTTAGTCATTTAGCAGACGCTCTTATCCAGAGCAACTTACATGAGCAATTAGGGTTAAGTGCCTTGCTCAAGGGCACATCGACTGATTTTTCACCTAGTCGGCTCGGGGATTAGAACCAGCGACCTTTCGGTTACTGGCACAACGGTCTTAACCACTAAGCTACCTGCCGCCCAGATTGACCAGATTGTTCTTCAAGATGTTCAAACGTTCATAGATGACCAGCAGGGTCAAATAATCACAGTGGTTGTAGAGGGTGCAACAGGTCGGAACCTCAGGAGTAAATGTCAGTTGGCTTTTCATAGCCGAGCATTCAGAGGTCGAGACAGCAGGTGCGGTAGAGAGAGAGAGCAAGTCGAAAACAACAGGTCCGGGACAAGGTACCACGTCCGGTAAACAGGTCAGAGTTCCCTAGCCGCAGGCAGAACAATTGAAACTGGAACAGCAGCACGACCAGGTGGACTGGGGACAGCCAGAAATCATCAGGCCAGGTAGTCCTGAGGTATGATCCTAGGGCTCAGGTCCTCTGGGAGGGGAGGGAGAGAGGGAGAGAGAGAGAATTAGAGGGAGTATACTTAAATTCACACAGGACACCAGATAAGACAGGAGAATTACACCAGATATAATAGCCTGACCCTAGCCCCCACAGCACATAGACTATTGCAGCATAGATACTGGAGACTGAGACAGGGGTGGGTCGGGGGACACTGTGGCCCCGTCCGACGATACCCCCGGATAGGATATAACCCCACCAACTTTGCCAAAGCACAGCCCCCACACCACTAGAGGGATATCAACAGATCACCAACTTACTACCCTGAGACAAGGCTGAGTATAGCCCACGAAGATCTCCTCCACCGCACGAGCCAGAGGGGGCACAAAACAGGACAGGAAGATCATGTCTGTGACTCAACCCACTCAAGTGACGCACCCCTCCTAGGGACGGCATGGAAGAGCACTAGTAAGCCAGTGACTCAGCCCCCGTAATAGGGTTAGAGGCAGAGAATCACAGTGGAGAGAGGGGAGCCGGCCAGGCAGAGACAGCAAGGGCAGTTTGTCGCTCCAGTGCCTTGCCGTTCACCTTCGTACCCCTGGGCCAGACGACACTCAATTATAGGACCTACTGAAGAGATGAGTCTTCAGTAAAGACTTAAAGGTCGAGACTGAGTCTGCGTCTCTCACATGGATAGGCAGACCATCAATCGAGGAGGAAACGGGCCTGCTACCATTTAGTGTTTCAAAGCAGACCAGCTTTAAATGGAGAGCACCATCACACTATCCACAGTCCAATATGGAGCCATGTCCAGCAAGCCCTGGACTAATAGGCACTTTCAATGGAGAATCTCATTTGAACAGGTTTTTTGTCCAAGATCTGAAACCACAGTGTTGTTGCAATGGGAGGCTGGTTGACTCTGATTCTGTTTATCTGGGTTTCAGTCACTCGTCTGGAGGAGCGTGAGTCAGACATGAAGAAGGAGTACAACGCTTTACACCAGCGACACACAGAGGTAGGAACAGCCATGTGTGTGTGTGTGTTTGCGTGTGTGTGTGCATGCTTGAGAGAGTTTAGTATCTGACTCCATACTAGCTGCTAGGTTTGTACTTGATGTTGTTTGCCTGGTACAATAGAACCAAGTCAATGGAATTACATCCATCTTCCTCACTCATCCTCTCTCTTCCTGTCAGATGATTCAAACATACGTGGAGCATATTGAGAGGTCCAAGATGCAACAGGCAGGGAACAACAGCCAGTCAGAAGGACCAGGCAGTGGACGCACGTGAGTGGCTGACTTTTTTAACATTTTCATCAGAAAACGTTATTATCCCCCAGTGAGGAAATCCGTTGAGCAGCATACAGACAAAACAATACAGTTCATACAACAACATAGACATAAAATAATATAGATAGTTGTGACCTTTCTGGAAAGTGTGGGTGGGTGCGTGTGTGGGTGGGCATGTGTGTGCAGGGGGAAGAGTATGTATCCTGTAGTAAAAATGTATCCTGGCATAGCTTAGTAGTAGCAACTATGCTGAGGTAATGTTCTGTGCTTTGTTTTGTTTGGAATAAGTGTGCTAGGGTATAGTGTTCTGTGTTTAGTGTGCGGTAGTTGTGTTGTGCTGCTGTGTGTTAGCCCGTGTTAGATTGTCTTGTGACACGTGATGTAGTGGTAAAAGCTGATCGCCGTTTGTGGTGAGTAAAGTTACGCTCCCTATACTTTCAAAACCTTTATTCCACAAAAGGTGGGTAAATGCTTGTGCAAAATAATATATGTCAGTAAACAACATTTATGTGTGTTTACCCTCCACTACACCACTTGTTGTGACCTGTTGTACCATGGGTTTGTCCTCACTCTAATCACCATATGTCTGTCTCGTTGTTTCACTCTGTGCTCGTGCTGCTGTGCTGCACAGTCAACGCCACGTGTGGAGGAAAAGGTAAATCACTACCCGCAAAAACCTCTTTGCCTCTTCCCCCCCCATCCCTGTCCCCTCAATCCCAATCTCATTTAGTGTTTGTCAGTCTTGGTCCTGGGTATATGACCTGGGTTCAAATACTTGAAAAATAATGTAATTAAACTTACTCAGGGGTTTTGCTTGAGTATTTTGGGGACTTTTCTATTGGTTTATTAAGCCAGGCAAGCTGAACCAGGCTCAGATACAGTATTTATTTCACTAGTACTGAGCGATTAGGGATTTTTGAGGTCGGTTTCGGTTCTATTACTTATATATTTTTTTACATTAAATGCATTATGAAATAATGACATTAAAATTATTAGAGCTTTTTAATGGTAATGCCAAAGCCAAAAATAGTGAACATTCAATTGCCAAAACACTGGAAATATTCCATTGTCTCTATAATAGAGAATTGCTATTAAATAATAAAATATTTCAGTTGTGTATATTACTTAGTTTTATTTGATGATTTTATCATTTTTAATTCATTAAAGTCAGCATCTCAATTTATCTCTGCTCAGGCAGTAGCAGCCCTCCAGACAACCATCTAATGTTATTTCTGTTCTCCCCATACTGTACTGTCTTTAGTCATCCTATTTAGCTAGGCTAGCCTGCCTAAGTATGCTGCAGAGCTGTCTGACGAAGTCATTTTACTAGTTCTTTAAAGTAGATAAGGCACACTTTCACGAATTCTCTATCCCTCTCTCTCGTCATTGTGTTGTTGTATCCTCTCTCATGCGGTGGCGTATACGGTCTGTGTGTATATAACCTAATGTAGCAGGCGTAAAAATGAATCGGAGCCTGAAAAGAACAGGCGCAATGGATTATGGTCATTTTAATTAATTACCACGTTTCTGAGCTGAACTAGGTTGAATATTTGTTTAATGAAAACTACAACTACCTTCAGCCCAGCATACCATATAGTTCTTGACTTAATTTCTCTCGTGAATGATTTGATTTCTCTCTAGCGAAACGCCGCGTTGGACTAACAAAAAAACAAAAGGCTTTTGCTCCTGCCCAGCACTAACACACCTGATTCAACTAATGGGGGGCTTGTTGATTAGTTGAATCAGGACTGCAGACCCTGTTGTTCCCAGGACTAGGACTGACGATCACTGCTCTCCCTGGCTCCATTGACCAACCAGCCTCTCCTTGGACTATAAATTCCCCTGCCCCCAGTATGTCCCAATATGGAATGGCCCAGAGTTCGTGCCTTTGTCCTTTACCTTCTCCTCTATCACCCACTGTTTATGGTCTGTCACGCAATTCGGTTCGGTTAGTTTAGGCAGTCGTCCTGATGAGCCCTTCCAAGCTAGCTAATTTATGCCTGTGGCTAGAAACTTCAGCGAGAATTTGAAACTTGTCTGCCGAAGTCAGGACCTGGGAGAGTATTCAGAATCATTATGTTTTTATCGGAGTAATTGTTCTTTTTTTAAATGTAGACATTAATGGCGTAGTTGTACATTTTCTGTCACCCAGGCCTGATATTGGCAACACTAGCTAGCTACTTCCCACTCCTTACTGCGGGACAGCAGTGCTCGGCAAGTGGGAGCAAAGGACACTGTGCCCCGTGTTCAATTCATTTATATTTAGAAGGTTTTGTTATGTGTTAACAAACCTTTTTAATTTTTGTACTTATGTATTGTATATTGTTTTTTGTGGTGTGGTTTTCATATAAGCCCTTGGGCTTCCAGCCACACCTGCACACCGTTTTTTTGTTTTTATCTGTATTGTTGTCTATCACTTGTTTTCTTTGGTGCAAATCAAATGAAAAAGTTTTTGCTGGCAAACTCACCATTGAGCAATAGACTGTATCACGGTGACATCCATATGGTTACTACCAATTTTACACATTATTTTTCGTGTAGGCTGTTATCCTACTCAAAATAAAATCAATTGGGATGGAACAAATTGGCCAGGTTAGCAACCGTCGGCGACATGTGATACAGCTGCCCTGTGGGAAGCAACTCATGTCGGCAAAACTCGATACAACACCGTTGCACTGGTCATTTGCACCGGCTTGTTGTAACGTTAGCTAATTGGCATGTCACGGTGATATTCAGGTGGTGACGAATGCTACAAGTTATTTCTACGTCGCCCATCGAAATAAACAACACTGTTGCCAGCTAGCCAGCATAAACTTGATGGCTCGGAAGGGCTCATCATGACTGAACCGAATCTGCTCATCTCCACTTTACTCTCAGCTGCGCGACATACAGTACGTCATCAATTTCTGCAGCAGGCCTGTGGGTATAGCCTCTCCCGTTTCTCCATAATGTGGATATATTGTGTCGTATTAGGTCGGTCTGGTTGAGTGTCAGTCTGTCCAGTAGCTGGCTTTGTGTGTTTGTGCTTAATTCAAGGGATTTTCAGTTTTATGTTATGCGGTCCCCAAAGTTAGCTTTCACCTCTCCAGATACATAATGTACAGTACATTATCTCCCTCCCTCTCTCTCCCACCTCTCTCTGCCCCTCTCCTCTCTCTTCCCCCTCACCTCTTTCTCTCTCTCTCTCTCTCTCTTTCGTTCTCATTTTCCTTTTCTTCTCTCCATCAAACCTTTCCTCTTCCCCCTTTGTTTTGTGCCCCCCCCCCCCTTCTCTTCCTCTCCCCCTCTCTCATCCCTCCCCCTCTTTTTTCCCCCAGCAGCAAAGTGGAGCGTCCCCCGTCGTTGAGCCTGTACCCCAGTGGAGAGGGCATGGGGATGGTACGTGGGGGTCTCGGGGGGGATAGGATGATAATGCCTGGGTCTGGGACCGACGTTTGGCAGGTCAGCGAGCTCAGCCAATTCCACTACACCTCTGGCTACCAGGTGTGATAGAGGCTCCGTCCCAAATGGCACCCTATTCCCTTTATAGTCCACCAATTTTGACCAGAGCACTATGGGCCCTGGTCAAAAGTAGTGCACTATAAAGGGAATAGGTTGTCATTTGGGACGTAGCCAGACACTCCCCCTGGACCTCACGTCTGCAGAACACGTCATGCCTTATGTCATGCCACACCCACCACCACCACCGTCATTCAGAATCATCCAGACACATCTCTCACGCTTGTTTGTGTCCCTTGTCTTCCAAGGGCTTTTCTTTGTGGTGTTTGTTGATTGGTTTTAAAGGCAGTGAGTATAATGAAGACATGACAGTGTATGAACAGATATGATGAATACATAATAGAACATAACTTAGCTTCTATCATCCCGTTTGCACCTGTCTTCACATCCCGTTTCACATGTACAGTACCAATAAAAAGTTTGGACACACCTACTCATTCAAGGGTTTTTCTTTATTTTGACTATTTTCTACATTGTAGAATAATAGTGAACACATCACAACTATGAAATAACACATATGGAATCATGTAGTAAGCAAAACAGTGTTAAACAAATCAAAATATATTTTATTTATATTTGAGATTCTTCAAATAGCCACCCTTTGCCTTGATGACAGCTTTGCACACTCTTGGCATTCTCTCAACCAGCTTCACCTGGAATGCTTTTCCAACAGTCTTGAAGGAGTTCCCACATATGCTGAGCACTTGTTGGCTGCTTTTCCTTCACTCTGCCGTCTGACTCATCCCAAACCATCTCAATTGGGTTGAGGTTGGGGGATTGTGGAGGCCAGGTCATCTGATGCAGCACTCCATCACTCTCCTTCTTGGTAAAATAGCCCTTACACAGCCTGGAGGTGTGTTAGGTCATTGTCCTGTTGAAAAACAAATGATAGTCCCACTAAGCCCAAACCAGATGGGATGGCGTATCACTGCAGAATGCTGTGGTAGCCATGCTGGTTATGTGTGCCTTGCATTCTAAATAAATCACAGACAGTGTCACAAGCAAAGCACCCCCACACCATAACACCTCCTCCTCCATGCTTTACGGTGGGAAATACACATGCGGAGATCATCCGTTCACCCACACCGCGTCTCACAAAGACATGGCGGTTGGAACCAAAAATCTCCAATTTGGACTCCAGACCAAAGGACACATTTCCACAGGTCTAATGTCCATTGCTCGTATTTCTTGGCCCAAGCAAGTCTCTTCTTCTTATTGGTGTCCTTTAATAGTGGTTTCTTTGCAGCAATACGACCATGAAGGCCTGATTCACACAGTCTCTTCTGAACAGTTGATGTTGAGATGTGTCTGTTACTTGAACTCTGTGAAGCATTTATTTGGGCTGCAATTTCTGAGACTGGTAACTCTAATGAACGTATCCTCTGCAGCAGAGGTAACTCTGGGTTTTCCATTCCTGTGGCGGTCCTCATGAGAGCCAGTTTCATCATAGCGCTTGATGGTTTTTGCGACTGCACTTGAAGAAACTTTCAAAGTTCTTGAAATGTTCCGTATCGACTGACCTTCTTGTCTTAAAGTAATGATGGACTGTTGTTTCTCTTTGCTTATTTGAGCTGGTCTTGCCATATTATGGACTTGGTCTTTTACCAAATAGGGCAATCTTCTGTATACCCCCCCTACCTTGTCACAACACAACTGATTGGCTCAAACGCATTAAGAAATAAATACATTCCACAAATTAACTTTTAAGAAGGCACACCTGTTAATTGAAATGCATTCCAGGTGACTATCTCATGAAGGTGGTTGAGAGAATGCCAAGAGTGTGCAAAGCTGTCATCAAGGAAAAGGGTGGCTATTTGAAGAATCTCAAATATAAAATATATTTTGATTTGTTTAACACTTTTTTTGGTTACTACATGATTCCATATGTGTTATTTAATAGTTTTGATGTCTTCACTATTATTCTACAATGTAAAAAAATTGCAAATATTAAGAAAAACCCTTGAATGAGTAGGTGTGTCCAAACTTTTGACTGGTAGTGTAAGTGTGATGCTTTGTTACTAAGTGTACGCGCAAGATTGTAAGTATAAGCAAGATCTTGAAGATTGCAACGAGCCTTGCAAGAGAAGAACCCTGGCTTCCCTATTCTCCACCCTTCAGACTAAATGTGCACTTGCACACTCTCCGTCATTGATTTAAAAGCATTGGCTTGGTGCAAACATTGTCTGGAGGGAGTTTCCACCATTGTTAAATCCATGAAGGGAAGTGTGCAAGTGTACACTTTGGGAGAAGGGTGGAGAATCGGGATGCAGCCCCTCTTTAACAATGTAGCCCCTTGACCTCTTTAACCCCTGACCTCTGACGCCCCAGGAGGATGGTTCCGAGTCGGATTCGGTGGCGGCCACGCCCAGTAGCACAGGAAGTAAGTCCAACACGCCCACTTCCTCTGTCCCTTCCGCCACCGTCACGCCCCTCAACGAGGGCTTCCTCCCGCCCGGCGAGTTCGACCCAATGCATGCTGTAAGCCGTGGCAGGAAGAGTGCCAAACGCCTCAGCAGAAACATGGAGGTGCAAGTCTCTCAGGAAACCAGGAACGTCAGCATCGGTGAGTGTAACATGCAGTTTCACACACACATACACACACTCGCGCACATACACACACGTTAGCATGAGTGGATCATTGTGTGATCAGGGCCTGTATTCATTAAGTCCCTCAGAGAAGGAGTGCTGATCTAGGATCAGGTCACCCCCTGTCCATGTAATCTTTACCATTATGATCGAAAAGGAAAAACTTATCCTAGATGATCACTCCTATTCTGAGATGCTTTGTGAATATGGTATTGAGTGTGTATGATATTCTATATATGTACTCAGGTATGGGTAGCAGTGACGAGTGGTCTGAATTCCAAGAGATCATCGATTCCACCCCGGAGCTGGATATGTGTGTGGACCCCCGTCTCTATGGTGGAGGAAACAGGTAACACACACACACACACACACACACACACACACACACACACACACACACACACACACACACACACACACACAGCAATTATTACGTATCAGTGTGTGTGTCAGTCCTTCCCAGGGCATCGTGAACGAGGCGTTCGGTATCAACACCGACTCTCTCTACCACGAGATCAAGGATGCCAAGTCTGACATCATCGGGGACGTGGACGCCGGGGCGGAGCTTCTAGGTAAGCCGGTCAGAGGAGCATTGGGTGGGGTATATGCAAATGAGCTATTGGAAGGCAGCGTAGGCCAGTCTCTGGTTGTGTTCCAGGCTGTCTACATTGCAGACGTTGCATTGCATTAACCAATGGTTGTGTGCCATGTCATCGACTGCACAGTCGGGTGTCAGATTGCTATTTCAAATGATGTGGTTAGCTGATATGTTAAACACCTATCCAGCTTTGTGAGTTCTGGCATGCGTCTGAAATGTAGTCATCCTGGAACCCAACCTCTGTCTGCACTAAGCAGAAAGTAATTGGGAATGTAAGCTGCGGTGCTTAGTACTAAGCTAGTGGGTGCCTCAAACACCTCAAAAAGAGCAAATGGTTATTTCTGTGAAATATGTTTTGCTTCTTTTTTTTGGTATAAATGTCACAATTAAGCGCTATGTTTTGAGGCTGTGTCACCGTTGCCATAGCACTGGCTGGCTCTGAACTTTGACCCTGCACACAGCGGAATGTTCACCACCACCCCACATCCGCGGCAGCTCCCCCATCCTCCACCGCACCGCAAAGCACCCTGGGATATCACTTGCACCATGGCTGCAGTCCCCATTGATTTGATATATTTTGAAGTTTGATTTTACAGGGCAAGCTAAATTATTCTTGATTTAGTCTTGGTTTACTTTTTGAGTTGACAGAGCTTCATGATTGATTTATTTCACTGCGATCATATTAGTTTATTGACCCGTGACCCTTCTATGTGCTTCCTCTCTCCCTTCCTGTGTATGCTGGACACGCCCCTAGGGGAGTTCTCAGGTGTGTATCTGAACCCTCTCTTTCTCACACACACACATACACATCCCTGCCTCCCACCTTCCAAGACACACACGAAGTACCACTGTATGCCTGTAGGCTTTACCCAATGACACGATGCTGGCATTCCAGGCTACAACAGTTGTTTTAAATGTTGATCTAGTCCAGATATTGTCCAGATAATGCTCTCTTTGATTGGTTGGTCGTAACGTTACAAAGCTCAACTGAACCCTGTGGTCAATGAAGGTGAATCTCTCTGTTTGTCGCTCCGAGTCTAAACTGACTACTAGTGTTCTCTGGTCTTGGACAGATCCAAGCTCTCTTATTGCTCTCTCAAGCTTTAGTATATAACAAGTGCTTATCAGCAGTCTCTCTTCTCTCTCTCTTTTATCTCACCCCATCCCTCCTTCTCTCTCTCTCTCTCTCTGGTCTGTGCCCCCCTCCCTCTTTCTTTCTCCTCTCTCTCCCCGTTTCTCTTCCTCTCTCCCAGTCCGTGATGATTTTTTCGGTAAGGCTCCCTCTAGCCTTATTCAGCATCTCTGGCTGTTGCTCATCCTCCCATGTTGTTGTGTCTGTCTGTGATGTCTCGTCTTTGCTGCGTTCCATGTTGTGATGCCATTTCCTACCTGTTTCTCTGCTGTGATGTCACTTCCTCCCATTTCCTGTTGGCTTTTATTTGAGTCTGGCAAGCTATTTCTTCTTCTTTTGTATTTGTTTTTCACCTTTATTTAGATTTTGAATCCATTGCTTTGTCCTCATGTTGTTTGACACTGTGAAAGCACATTCCACTTTTATTTGAGCTTGTCACAGCAAACACATCATTATTGTATCTGTATTTCTTTTGGGAAATCTTTTGGGCTTTTCTTGGTTTCATTTCAGCTTGCGGGAGTTGGCTTAAACATCATGATTCTCCCCAAAACCTCTAAACCTTCATACATTACTGATGTAGAATTAATCCATAAATAGCCCCAGAATTCATATTCAAAGACGATTAATGTGTTCATTAAAAAAAGTTAACTAAGTTTATAGTTAATGCACACTTGGAGAGTTCATGAAGTGTTTATAGAGCAATAAAATGAGTGTAGCCTGGTCCCAGGTCTGTTTGTGCTCTCTTGCCAACTGTTTGGCAAGACAAACAGCACAAACAGATCTGGGACCAGGCTAGAAAGAGTGTTGTTAGTGTTAATCAATGCTAACACTAATGCTAACTAATACGTCACAGGTATGGGCAAGGAGGTGGAAAATCTGCTGACGGAGAACAAACATCTTCTGGAGACCAAGTAAGTGTGTGTGTGTGTGCTGCTGGATATTAACGATGGTTTGGTGCAAGATAGATTTACTAGAGGGGGCTGTTCTTTTGCAAGGGTTGAGTAAAAATGCAATTATTTGGATGAATAGAGAGAGCACACACACACAGACATGCAAGGATGTGTGTGTGTATGTGTGTTTGAGAGTGATAGTAAGACACGGAGAGAAAATGGGTTTTCCTTTTCTTTTATTTAGTTTTGTCCGTTTTCTTTTGAGGCGGGGTTACAGGTACAAAAAAACAATCAAAGAAATGCATACAAGATAACCCCAACCCATTCCCCCCCTCAGTCCCCATCCACCTGCCCGCGTCCTCCCTCCCCACCTGGAAACCATGCCCCCCCGCCCTCCCCCACAACAGGTTTTCCTTTTCCAGTTGAAATGCCTTTCGATTGGCACCCAAATACTTTTGTTTAATTATTGAGTTAAGCAGTACAATTATTGATTCCCATTTCTCCCCATGCAGAAATGCTCTGAACATCGTGAAGAACGACCTGATAGCCAAAGTGGATGAGCTCTCTGGGGAGCATGAGGTGCTGAGAGAGGAACTGGATGCCCTTAGGACCGCCAAGAACAAAGTAGATGCAAAGGTTAAAGAACTGGAAGAAGAGCTGAAGAGGTGAGGGGTGGTGGGAGTGTGTGTGTGCGTGCGGGCATAGTGTGTGTGACTTGTGACTCTTATGACTCTTTGCCTCCTCAGGTTGAGAGCAGAGGCTCTGACTCTGGGAGCATCTCAGGACTCCAAGGATGAAGGAGGAGAAGATGTGAGTAAAACAAACAAACAAATAAACATTTAGTCATATAGCAGACACTCTTATCCAGAGTGACTTACAGTTAGTGCATTAGTATCTAGATACAACAACCACATATCACAGTCATAGAGTCATAAGCTAGGTTTCCATCCAATTGGCAACTGATTTTCATGCAAATATTCTAAAATGTGTTTCCATCAGAGATGTGTTTCCATCAAATTGACTTGTTGCGGATAAAAGGCTGTGCGTGGTGACTTAGTGCACATTTAAAAAAACTTTGCGGTTAAATTCCCACGTACCGAATAAAAATACAATTTAAATGGGTTTCCATCGCATGTTCAACTCTACCGATGGTTTTGTCACAAAACATTTTTTGTTATACAGTGAGGGAAAAAAGTATTTGATCCCCTGCTGATTTTGTACGTTTGCCCACTGACAAAGACATGATCAGTCTATAATTTTAATGGTAGGTTTATTTGAACAGTGAGAGACAGAATAACAACCAATCCAGAAAAACACAAGTCAAAAATGTTATACATTTATTTGCATTTTAATGAGGGAAATACAGTGGGGGAAAAAAGTATTTAGTCAGCCACCAATTGTGCAAGTTCTCCCACTTAAAAAGATGAGAGAGGCCTGTAATTTTCATCATAGGTACACGTCAACTATGACAGACAAATTGAGGAAAACAATTCCAGAAAATCACATTGTAGGATTTTTAATGAATTTATTTGCAAATTATGGTGGAAAATAAGTATTTGGTCACCTACAAACAAGCAAGATTTCTGGCTCTCACAGACCTGTAACTTCTTCTTTAAGAGGCTCCTCTGTCCTCCACTCGTTACCTGTATTAATGGCACCTGTTTGAACTTGTTATCAGTATAAAAGACACCTGTCCACAACCTCAAACAGTCACACTCCAAACTCCACTATGGCCAAGACCAAAGAGCTGTCAAAGGACACCAGAAACAAAATTGTAGACCTGCACCAGGCTGGGAAGACTGAATCTGCAATAGGTAAGCAGCTTGGTTTGAAGAAATCAACTGTGGGAGCGATTATTAGGAAATGGAAGACATACAAGACCACTGATAATCTCCCTCGATCTGGGGCTCCACGCAAGATCTCACCCCGTGGGGTCAAAATGATCACAAGAACGGTGAGCAAAAATCCCAGAACCACACGGGGGGACCTAGTGAATGACCTGCAGAGAGCTGGGACCAAAGTAACAAAGCCTACCATCAGTAACACACTACGCTGCCAGGGACTCAAATCCTGCAGTGCCAGACCTGTCCCCCTGCTTAAGCCAGTACATGTCCAGGCCCGTCTGAAGTTTGCTAGAGTGCATTTGGATGATCCAGAAGAGGATTGGGAGAATGTCATATGGTCAGATGAAACCAAAATAGAACGTTTTGGTAAAAACTCAACTCGTCGTGTTTGGAGGACAAAGAATGCTGAGTTGCATCCAAAGAACACCATACCTACTGTGAAGCATGGGGGTGGAAACATCATGCTTTGGGGCTGTTTTTCTGCAAAGGGACCTGGACGACTGATCCGTGTAAAGGAAAGAATGAATGGGGCCATGTATCGTGAGATTTTGAGTGAAAACCTCCTTCCATCAGCAGGAGCATTGAAGATGAAACGTGGCTGGGTCTTTCAGCATGACAATGATCCCAAACACACCGCCCGGGCAACGAAGGAGTGGCTTCATAAGAAACATTTCAAGGTCCTGGAGTGGCCTAGCCAGTCTCCAGATCTCAACCCCATAGAAAATCTTTGGAGGGAGTTGAAAGTCTGTGTTGCCCAGCGACAGCCCCAAAACATCACTGCTCTAGAGGAGATCTGCATGGAGGAATGGGCCAAAATACCAGCAACAGTGTGTGAAAACCTTGTGAAGACTTACAGAAAACGTTTGACCTGTGTCATTGCCAACAAAGGGTATATAACAAAGTATTGAGAAACTTTTGTTATTGACCAAATACTTATTTTCCACCATAATTTGCAAATAAATTCATTAAAAATCCTACAATGTGATTTTCTGGATTTTTTTTTCTCATTTTGTCTGTCATAGTTGACGTGTACCTATGATGAAAATTACAGGCCTCTCTCATCTTTTTAAGTGGGAGAACTTGCACAATTGGTGGCTGACTAAATACTTTTTTCCCCACTGTAAGTATTTGACCCGTCTGCAAAATATGACTTAGTACTTGGTGGCAAAACCCTTGTTGGCAATTACAGAGGTCAGACGTTTCTTGTAGTTGGCCACCAGGTTTGCACACATCTCAGGAGGGATTTTGTCCCACTCCTCTTTGCAGATCTTCTCCAAGTCATTAAGGTTTCGAGCCTGACGTTTGGCAACTCGAACCTTCAGCTCCCTCCACAGATTTTCTATGGGATTAAGGTCTGGAGACTGGCTAGGCCACTCCAGGACCTTTATGTGCTTCTTCTTGAGCCACTCCTTTGTTGCCTTGGCCGTGTGTTTTGGGTCATTGACATGCTGGAATACCCATCCACGACCCATTTTCAATGCCCTGGCTGAGGGAAGGAGGTTCTCACCCAAGATTTGACGGTACATGGCCCCGTCCATCGTCCCTTTGATGCGGTGAAGTTGTCCTGTCCCCTTAGCAGTCCTTCACGGCGTAATGTGTTACCAATTGTTTTCTTGGTGACTATGGTCCCAGCTGCCTTGAGATCATTGACAAGATCCTCCCGTGTAGTTCTGGGCTGATTCCTCACCGTTCTCATGATCATTGCAACTCCACGAGGTGAGATCTTGCATGGAACCCCAGGCCGAGGGAGATTGACAGTTCTTTTGTGTTTCTTCCATTTGCGAATAATCGCACCAACTGTTGTCACCTTCTCACCAAGCTGCTTGGCGATGGTCTTGTAGCCCATTCCAGCCTTGTGTAGGTCTACAATCTTGTCCCTGACATCCTTGGAGAGCTCTTTGGTCTTGGCCATGGTGGAGAGTTTGGAATCTGATTGATTGATTGCTTCTATGGACAGGTGTCTTTTATACAGGTAACAAGCTAAGATTAGGAGCACTCCCTTTAAGAGTGTGCTCCTAATCTCAGCTCGTTACCTGTATAAAAGACACCTGGGAGCCAGAAATCTTTCTGATTGAGAGGGGGTGAAATACTTATTTACCTCATTAAAATGCAAATCAATTTATAACATTTTTGACATTCATTTTTCAGGATTTTGTTGTTGATATTCTGTCTCTCACTGTTCAAATAAACCTACCATTAAAATTATAGACTGATCATTTCTTTGTCAGTGGGCAAACGTACAAAATCAGCAGGGGATCAAATACTTTTTTCCCTCACTGTATAGCGAATGTGCCCACTCTGGTCTTGGCACATGCGTTCTAGCCAATACCTCACAGATACAGTCCGTGAATAGCCTACTACATGATGAGATTATTATGGACAAAAGAGCGATATTGTTTTTACTTGTCAAACAGCAGCCAAGCATCGATCATCATGTCACCAGAATAAGACCCTAGATATTTATTGGAAAGGAGCATTAAGCTCATCACTGTGGACTTCCACCACTCAGTGGTTCTTAAGTTATTTCATTTGTATCCTATTAATCTGCATGCTTTCCTGAGTCGTAGTGGGAGGGCCACACAACACATCATCGCGTGACTCCAAGTTTACTTCGATATGATGGTTATTATACTGAACAAAAATATAAATGCAACATGCAACAATATCAAAGATTTTACGGAGTTACAGTTCATATAAGGAAATCAGTCAATTGAAATTAATTAATTAGGCCCTAATTTATGGATTTCACATGATTGGTAATACAGATACGCATCTGTTGGTCACAGAAAAAAAAAAGGGGCGTGGGTCAGAATCTGGTGTGACCAACATTTGCCTCATGCAGCGCGAGACATCTCCTTCTCATAGAGTTGATCAGGCTGTTGATTTGTGGCCTGTGGAATGTTGTCCCACTCCTCTTCAATGGCTGTGCGAAGTTGTTGGATATTGACGGGAACTGGAACACGCTGTCCCAAACATGCTAAATGGGTGACACGTCTGATGAGTATGCAGGCCATGGAAGAACTGGGACATTTTCAGCTTCCAGGAATTGTGTACAGATCCTTGCGACATGGGGCCGTGCATTATCATGCTGAAATATGAGGTGATGTCGGCGGATGAATGGCACGACAATGGGCCTCAGGATCTCGTCACGGTATCAGATTGCCATTGATAAAATGCAATTTTGTTCGTTGTCCGTAGCTTATGCCTGCCCATACCATAACACCACCGCCACCAAGCGCACTCTGTTCACAACGTTGACATCAGCAAACCGCTCGCCCACACGACGCCATACATGTGGTCTGTGGTTGTGAGGCCGGTTGGACATACTGCCAAATTCTCTAAAACGATGTTGGCGGCTTATGATAGAGAAATTAACATTAAATTATCTGGCAATAGCTCTGGTAGACATTCCTGCACTTCCTGAACTTGAGACATCTATGGCATTATGTTGTGTGACAAAACTGCAGATTTTAGATTGGCCTTTTATTGTCCCTAGCACAAGGTGCACCTGTTTAATGATCATGCTGTTTAATCAACTTCTTCATATGCCACACCTGTCAGGTGGATGGATTATCTTGGCAAATGAGAAATGCTCACTAACAGGGATGTTACAAAATTTTTGCACAAAACTTGAGAGACATAAGCTTTTTATGCGAATGGAACATTTCTGGGATATTTTATTTCAACTCATGAAACATGGGACCAACACATTACATTTTGCGTTTTAGATTTTTGTTCAGTATATATCAATATTTGCGCATAAAGGCGTTTCCACTGCCTTTTTTTGCATAATTCATTTTACAAACAGAAAAAGATCCCACCTTGTCTAGTGTATTTTGTTTTGTCTACATTTGGAATGTTTACTGACAAATGTGCTATTTCCATCAGGCCTGTGGTGACATTATTTATCTGACATGTACTTTACTCGCATAAAAAGGTTGGATGGAAACCTGGTTTCTGTAAGTAACATTTTCTATAATAAAGCAGAAAAATCTAGTAAGAAAAGACTAGTGCAACTGGTAGTGCAAGACATGCAAGTACAACAGTGATTTTTAGTTTTTTTCAAATGTCGAATTACTGTAGTTGGTAGATTTGTTGTATATGGGTTAATCCTGGGAGAATGCCACTTGCCAAATTACTATTGAGATTCTTGTGCCAGCTTTCTCTGTAGAACTGACCTTTGTAGTTTGACAGAAATGCCTTTGCAGGAGCCCTCAATCCTAATTGAGTTCATATGAAATTCACAACCGCATTTCACATACCTACCTGTTCAACTAAGATTAGCTAGGGCAGGGGTTCCCAAACTTTTTTGGCCCACGACCCCATTTTGATATTTCCCAAAAAAATGGTGACCCCACCATGTAAACAAAGTGATGTAATCAACGGTCAATATTTACTTTTGTAATTGGGGTTATGACAGTCTATTACAAATCAATCTGATAGTACTTTTGACAGTATTTCAATCTGAAGGAAGTATGGTTTGAAGTGACTGAAATGCATCAGAAAGGTATTGGGAAGTTCAGAAGATCATTTTGTATGATCTTGATTGTTCTTTTTCCCCAGTCTGATTTAGTGCCTGGTCTTGTCCACTATGTTCTGATGAGTCCTGCGTGGCTTGTGGGCATTGTAGAGGGAAACAGAAGACACATACAGTGCATTCGGAAAGTATTCAGACCCCTTCACTTTTTCCACATTTTGTTACGTTTAGGGCTGTGGCGGTCATGAAATGTTGTCAGCCAGTGATTGCCAGGCAAATAACTGCCGGTCTCACGGTAATTGACTGTAAATTAACATAAACACATTTAGCATCTCCTGTCTTCCACGCATAGCCTACAAGCCACTGATGCAGACCTTTGGAACATCTACATTTAAACAAGTATAATAAATCCATGTAATATGGATGTGTCTCTCGAGTGGCGCAGTGGTCTAAGGCTGTGCCACTAGAGATCCTGGTTCGAATCCAGGCTCTGTCATAGCCGGCCGTGACCGGGAGACCCATGGGGCGCCGCACAATTGGCCAAGCGTCGTCTAGGGTAGGGGAGGGAATGGCCGGCAGGGATGTAGCTTAGTTGATAGAGCATGGCGTTTGCAACGCCAGGGTTGTGGGTTCGATTCCCATGGGGGGTATGAAAAAATAAATAATGTATGCACTCACTAACTGTAAGTCGCTCTGGATAAGAGCGTCTGCTAAATGACTAAAAATGTAAATGTAATATAGCCTACACCATCACAATAAATCCATTATTTATTTTAGACAGGTCTAAAAAAACATGAAGAAAATGTAGTCTATTTCAGAAGAACAGAATAGCATACTGCGTTGTCCTTATGTTAGGCCCTGATCTGGCTATGCCATATGGCTGTGGGCTACACTAGTTAATTTAGCAAACAAGATTTGCTTAGAATTCCGTAGCATTATTTATATTATTACTTCAGTTTCTTGGCAATTTCTCGCATGGAATAGCCTTCATTTCTCAGACCAAGAATAGACTGACGAGTTTCAGAATAAAGTTATTTGTTTCTGGCCATTTTAAGCCTGTAATCGAACCCACAATTGCTGATGCTCCAGATACTCAACTAGTCTCAAGAAGGCCAGTTTTATTGCTTCTTTAATCAGCACAACAGTTTTCAGCTGTGCTAACATAATTGCAAAAGGGTTTTCTAATGATCAATTAGCCTTTTAAAATGATAAACTTGGATTAGCAAACACAACGTGCCATTGGAACACAGGACTGATGGTTGCTGATAATGGGCCTCTGTACGCCTATGTAGATATTCCATAAACAATCAGCAGTTTCCAGATACAATAGCCATTTACAACATTAACAATGTCTACACTGTATTTCTGATCAATTTGATGTTATTTTAATGGACAAAAAAATAGCTTTTCTTTCGAAAACAAGGACATTTCTAAGTGACCCCAAACTTTTGAACGGTAGTGTAGGTATGCCAGTTAGGCTCTACACCCATTGTAAAGCGGATTAGTATGCTTCATTTTAAGAAGTTATTTGGCCACTTTAGTTGTGATACAAACCTTATCAAAACATATAAGCCTATGGGCTAGGCTACATGAGGTGTGCGACTATGATTTGCAAAAAAAAGCATGCGCTGTTTGCCTCCAGCTGGGCATCATTCACAAGTGATAGGCTAATATTGTCAACCATCACACTATTCTTGATTTAATATTGTCTTTACATATACTAAATAATATATGTGTGAAATTTGTTTTGATTTAGAATGGACCATTATCATGCACCTGTCTCGAAACAGGGGCAGCGGAAAAAAAATACATGTCATCTATGCACTTAGATAGCGAATGGAGGACGCTTTTTCCGTGGTTCATTTTCATGCCAGCCAGGTAGGCTATACTCCTGTTTTAAAGAGAAACAATGTGCTAAATATTAGGAAGGTTGAAAAATATAGAGGCCATCACTCTGTTTTCTCACGCAGTAGGACAAATGTATACACTCACTAACTGTAAGTCGCTCTGGATAAGAGCGTCTGCTAAATGACTAAAATGTAAATGCAATTGCATAGCCTATAGAAATGTTGCGCAACGTGAGCTCATGGGCTCTCATGAAGTGTTTGATTCGATTTTCAAATACATTTGCATTGATGTCAGAGTGATTAGAGGGACAATAGAGTGCTGAGTACCAGGCAGTTAGCAAGTTTGGTAGGCTACTAATGACCATTAGCAGCATCAGAGCTTGGAGAAGCCTAATTACTGTGACTAAACGGTCACATGGAATTTGACTGCCATCAACAACCCTAGTTACGTTACAGCCTTATTCTAAAATGGATTCAATAGTTTTTTTCCCTCATCAATCTACACACAATACCCCATAATGACAAAGTAAAAACATGTTTTTACTTTTTTTGCAAATATATAAGTCCGGGCTCTGGAGGGCCACTCAAGGACATTCAGAGACTTGTCCCGAAGCCACTCCTGCGTTGTCTTGGCTGTGTGTTTAGGGTCGTTGTCCTGTTGGAAGGTGAACCTTCACCCCAGTCTGAGGTCCTGAGCACTCTGGAGAAGGTTTTCATCAAGGATCTCTCTGTACTTTGCTCCGTTCATCTTTCCCTCGATCCTGACTAGTCTCCCAGTCCCTGCCGTTGAAAAACATCCCCACAGCATGATGCTGCCACCACCATGCTTCACCGCAGGAATGGTATTGGCCAGGTGATGAGCGGTGCATGGTTTACTCCAGACGTGACTCTTGGCATTCAGGCCAAAGAGTTCAATCTTGGTTTCATCAGACCAGAGAATCTTGTTTCTCATGATCTGAAAGTCCTTTAGGTACCTTTTGGCAAACTCCAAGCGGGCAGTCATGTGCCTTTTACTGAGGAGTGGCTTCTGTCTGGCCACTCTACCATAAAGGCCTGATTGGTGGAGTGCTGCAGAGATGGTTGTGTTTCTGGAAGGTTCTCCCATCTCGACAGAGGAACTCTGGAGCTCTGTCAGAGTGACCACCGGGTTCTTGGTCACCTCCCTGACCAAGGCCCTTCTCCCCCGATTGCTCAGTTTGGTCGGGCGGCCAGCTCTAGGAAGAGTCTTGGTGGTTCCAGACTTCTTCCATTTAAGAATGATGGAGGCCACTGTGTTCTTGGGGACCTTCAATGTTGCAGAAATGTTTTGGTACCCTTCCTCAGATCTGTGCCTCGACACAATCCTGTCTTGGAGCTCTATGGACAATTCCTTCGACCTCATGACTTGGTTTTTGCTCTGACATGCACTGTCAACTGTGGGACCTTATATAGACAGGTGTGCCTTTCCAAATCATGTCCAATCAATTGAATTTACCACAAGTGGACTCCAATCAAGTTTTAGAAACATGTCAAGGATGATCAATGGAAACAGGATGCACCTGAGCTCAATTTTGAGTCTCATAGCAAAGGGTCTGAATACTTCTGTAAATTAGGTTTTTCTGTTTTTTATTTGTAATACATTTGCAAAAAAATCTATAACCTGTTTTTGCTTTGTCATTATGGGGTATTGTGTGTAGATTGAGGAAAAAAATCAACTTTAGAATAAGGCTGTAACGTAACAAAATTTGGAAAAAGTGAAGGGGTCTGAATACTTTACGTGTTCCTTAGAGTCTTATCTTTAAGTGATGGGGTCAAAATATTTTGTAGTTTAGACCGTTCAAAATAAAGAAAGAAGGAAATAGAAACCGCTTTGTTTATTACAACCACATCTAGTGGCTACCGGAGATTCTCTCGCGACCCCATTTTCAAATCAAGTGACCCCTATTTTGGGAAACGCTGATCTAGGGGCATGTTGAGATAACTATGCCTCTCTGGTTGGCATTGAATAGTTTGCTTTTAGCCTTCTGAAAATGTTGTGAAAAATACAATATCTGATAGCCAGCACAGAACAGTTTGAGGTTGGCTGGCCCGACAGTGTAAAAGGGTATGAATGCAACATATGCCCTTTCTCCTCCCCCCTTCTCTCTTCTTCCCTTCTCCTCCTCCCCTCTCTCCTCCCTTCTCGCCTCCTCCCTTCTCTCCTCCTCCTTTTCTCCCTCAGTACTCGTCTCCGATGGTGGATGGGGATGTGACCATGACGCAGCGTCGGCGTTTCACGCGGGTGGAGATGGCCAGGGTACTGATGGAGAGGAACCAGTACAAGGAGAGACTAATGGAACTACAGGAGGCCGTCCGGTGGACAGAGATGATCAGGTGAGGAGAGGGGGGAGGGGAGGAGAGAGGAACCAGTACAAGGAGAGACTGATGGAACGCAGGAGGCCGTTCGGTGGACAGAGATGATCAGGTGAGGAGAGGAGAAGGAGGAGTGGGGGGAGGGAGGAGGGCAGTGAGGGGTGAAGGGGAGAGGAACCATTACAAGGAGAGGCTGATGGAGATGCAGTAGGCCGTCTGGTGGACAGAGATGATCAGGAGAGGCAGGCCTGGCCCTGTCTCCTAGTTTAGCAAGACAATGACCATAGAAGTTCGTAAGACAAACAGATCTGGGACCAGGCTAGGTATATGCTGCTCCCATGCTTTATTCCTGCACAAACATGCCTCTCTCTGTTTCCTCAGGGCATCCAGGGAGAGTCCTCAGATGCAGGAGAAGAAGAAATCCACCATCTGGCAGTTGTGAGTTGTTATCAGTGCCATGCAGCCTAAAGGTGTCAGCATGTTTCAGTTCGGCTGGCACCTAATTCGGCTGGAACCGAACAAGTGTGCTCGCATACTCCCTTAAAAGATCTTCGCTTGAAAAACAAGAAAAAAGTGGCAATAGTACTGTTTGTCAATTTTGAGACGACTCAAAATAATCCAAATTAATCTAAGATAACTCAAGAAATCTGTAATTTATTTTGATGTTTTTGCTGAGGAGATCTTAGTCGTGCAATTTTACATCTAACTAAGATGTTTGGTGCAGTATTTCTCAATGAAGAAATTTGCATCAAAATGAGTCGTCTCTCGTTAAATGACAACAAAGACTTTATAGAAGAATCCCTACTGTTGACCAATCACGACTAACGGGCTTAGACTTCGGCTTGCCGAAAAACCCTTACCCGAAGTCCAAAACGATCAAAAACGTCACAAAATGTCATCATAATATATGCACAAACTCTTCCGAACTGTTTCGGCTGAGAATCATGCGGACGCCTTAAGGCTGTGTTCTGTATGCTTTGTAATGTACAGTTAATGAAATCGTTACTAAACTTTCTTACTGTCACGCTCTGGCTCCGGGACTCTGTATAGTGAGCCAGGGTGTGTTCATTATTTGGGTGTATTTCTATGTTTGTATTTCTGTTGGGTGCATTTCTATGTTTGGTCAATGACTCCCAATCGGAGGTAACGAGTGTCAGCTGTCGGCTCGTTATCTCTGATTGGGAGCCATATTTAATCTGTATGTTTTCCTGTGGGTGTTGTGGGTTTTTGTTCGTGTTTGGTTGTGTATTGACCGTCGACTGTCACGTCGTTGTTTTGTTGTTTTGATCGGGTGATCATTCAAATAAATAATATGTTCACATTCAACGCTGCGCCTTGGTCCTCCTCCTCTATGTATGACGCGCGTGACAGAAAAACCCACCAAGATGGGACCAAGCAGCGTGTCCAGGAGCCGTCGCCAGGGAGATCCCTCACAGATCTCCTTCGCCTCCTGGACTGGGTCAAGCCGAGTGAGGAGGAGAAGGGCTTGACGCTATGGCAGAAGGGCGAGAGGCTGGCGAGGTCTATGGAGACCTGGTCCACGGGTAGGAGAGACGCCCCGAAAATTTTTAGGGGGGGGCTCGAGACGTCGGACCAGCAGGAGGCCGCGATAGAGCGGCCCAGTGGGTTGCTGGAGAAGGCCGCCGGGTTACGGGGGCCACTGGTCAAAGAGGGGATGGAGGAAGTGGAGGCACGGCGAGAGGTACTGGCGTGTGTTGCCAGTCCGGTCCGGCCCGTTCCAGATCCCGGTGTGGGGCCAGTGGTGTGTGTCCCCAGTACAGTCCGGCCCATCCAAGCTTCCCGCACCAAGCCAGTGGTGTGCGTCGTCAGTCCAGTCCGGCCCGTTCCTGCTCCCCGCATCAAGTCTGTGGTGCGTCTCGTCAGCCCGGCTCTGCCCGTTCCTGCTCTCCGCACCAGGTCTGTGGTGCGCGTCGCCAGCCCAGTCCGGCCCATTCCTGCTCCCCGCATCAAGTCTGTGGTGCGTCTCGTCAGCCCGGCTCTGCCCGTTCCTGCTCTCCGCACCAGGTCTGTGGTGTGCGTCGCCAGCCCGGCTCGTCCCGTTCCTGCTCCCCGCACCAAGTCAGGGGTGCGCTTCGACAGCCCGGCTCGGTCCGCTCCTGCTCCCCACACCAAGCCAGTGGGGTGCGGCGTCAGTCCGGCACGGCCCGTGCCTGTTCTCCGCACCAAGTCTGTGGTGCGTTTCGTCAGCCCTGTCCGGCCCGTTCCTGCTCTCCGCACCAAGTCTGTGGTGCGCGTCGCCAGCCCAGTTCGGCCCATCCAAGCTCCCCGCACCAGGTCAGTGGTGCGCGTCGTCAGCCCGGTCCGGCCCGTTCCTCCTCCACGCATCAGGCCAGGGGCGCGTGTCGTCGGTCCGGCTCCGGCCAGCGGGGCTGGACAGGACCAGGGGTACTTTGGGGGGTTGGAGAGGAGGTGGGGATCAAGGACGGAGCCAGAGCCACCGCCGAGGAGGTGTGCCCACCCAGCCCTCCCTTGTTTAGCCCGTATTGAGGCGCGGTCGCAGTCCGCGCCTTTAGGGGGGGGTACTGTCACGCTCTGGCTCCGGGACTCTGTATAGTGAGCCAGGGTGTGTTCATTATTTGGGTGTATTTCTATGTTTGTATTTCTGTTGGGTGCATTTCTATGTTTGGTCAATGACTCCCAATCGGAGGTAACGAGTGTCAGCTGTCGGCTCGTTATCTCTGATTGGGAGCCATATTTAATCTGTATGTTTTCCTGTGGGTGTTGTGGGTTTTTGTTCGTGTTTGGTTGTGTATTGACCGTCGACTGTCACGTCGTTGTTTTGTTGTTTTGATCGGGTGATCATTCAAATAAATAATATGTTCACATTCAACGCTGCGCCTTGGTCCTCCTCCTCTATGTATGACGCGCGTGACACTTACTGTACATCTCTCTCTCTCTCTCTCTCTCTCTCCCTCTCTCTTCTCTCCTTCCAGTTTTGCCCGTCTGTTCAGTTCCTCGGCCAGTCCTCCACCAGTCAAGCGTCCATACTACAGCGTCAACATCCACTACAAGTCCCCATCCCCTGCAGGCTTCCCCCAGAGACGCAGCCACACCATGTGTCAGATCTCTACCTCAAACCGAACCCTGGAGTTCTTCCCAGAAGAGTGAGAGAAAAACACACACCAACCTTTTTTATTTACATTCTTCCCTCACTCTGTCGCCGTCCATACCTTCATCCCTCTATCCCTCCACCCCTCTCCCTCTGATCGTCCTCCATCTCTGTCCCTCCCTCCTTCCCATCACTCTATCCCTCCACCCCTCTCTCCCTCTGATCGCCCTCCATCTCTGTCCCTCCCTCCTCCCATCCCTCTCCTTCCTTCCGTCCCTCCCTCCCTCTTATCTCTCCATCCCTCTATCCCTTCCTCCCTCTATCCCTCCCTTGTCCACCCTCTAACATTGTAGAGTTAGTTGTCTATGCATGTGTAGGGGAGAGTTTGGGGTTGCACTGTCTTAAGTGTAATCCTACAGTATGTGTATGTGTGAGATAATGTTTTCCCTAATTTAAACTCAGCAAAAAAAGAAACGTCCTCTCACTGTCAACTGCGTTTATTTTCAGCAAACTTAACATGTAAATATTTGTATGAACATAACAACAATTGAGACATAAACTGAACAAGTTCCACAGACATGTGACTAACAGAAATTGAATAATGTGTCCCTGAACAAAGGGGGGGTCAAAATCAAAAGTAACAGTCAGTAACTGGTGTGGCCACCAGCTGCATTAAGTACTGCAGTGCATCTCCTCCTCATGGACTGCACCAGATTTGCCAGTTCTTGCTGTGAGATGTTACCCCACTCTTCCACCAAGGCACCTGCAAGTTCCCAGACATTTCTGGGGGGAATGGCCCTAGCCCTCACCCGCCGATCCAACAGGTCCCAGACGTGCTCAATGTGATTGAGATCCAGGCTCTTCGCTGGCCATGGCAGAACACTGACATTCCTGTCTTGCAGGAAATCACGCACAGAACGAGCATTATGGCTGGTGGCATTGTCATGCTGGAGGGTCATGTCAGGATGAGCCTGCAGGAAGGGTACCACATGAGGGAGGAGGATGTCTTCCCTGTAACGTACAGTGTTGAGATTGCCTGCAATGACAACAAGCTCAGTCCGATGATGCTGTGACACACCGCCCCAGACCATGACGGACCCTTCACCTCCAAATCGATCCCGCTCCAGAGTACAGGCCTCGGTGTAACGCTCATTCCTTCTACGATAAACGCGAATCCGACCATCACCCCTGGTGAGACAAAACCGCGACTCGTCAGTGAAGAGCACTTTTTGCCAGTCCTGTCTGGTCCAGCGACGGTAGGTTTGTGCCCATAGGCGACGTTGTTGCCGGTGATGTCTGGTGAGGACCTGCCTTACAACAGGCCTACAAGCCCTCAGTCCAGCCTCTCAGCCTATTGCGAGCACTGATGGAGGGATTGTGCGTTTCTGGTGTAACTCGGGCATGTTGTTGCCATCCTGTACCTGTCCCGCATGTGTGATGTTCGGATGTACCGATCCTGTGCAGGTGTTGTTACACGTGGTCAGCCACTGCAAGGACGATCAGCTGTCCGTCCTGTCTCCCTGTAGCGCTGTCTTAGGCGTCTCACAGTACGGACATTGCAATTTATTGCCCTGGCCACATCTGCAGTCCTCATGCCTCCTTGCAGCATACCTAAGGCACGTTCACGCAGATGAGCAGGGACCCTGGGCATCTTTAATTTGGTGTTTTTCAGAGTCAGTAGAAAGGTATCTTTACTGTCCTAAGTTTTCATAACTATGACCTTAATTGCCTACCGTCTGTAAGCTGTTAGTGTCTTAACGACCGTTCCACAGGTGCATGTTCATTAATTGTTTATGGTTAATTGAATAAGCATGGGAAAAAGTGTTTAAACCCTTTACAATGAAGATCTGTGAAGTGATTTGGAATTTTACGAATTATCTTTGAAAGACAGGGACCTGAAAAAGGGATGTTTCTTTTTTTGCTGAGTCTATTTTTGAGTGAAATCATGATAACCCATCATATTTTGAATCAGTTAGTAGAGTTCTTGCATGTGCCATCATGTTAAAGTGCAAAAGGATGTAAGTATGGTTGCTAGTTCATAGTACTGCTTTGTGCATTGTTCTTAGTGATTAGTGCTAAGTGCAGATCACATATTGTGATTGCTTTTTATTTTGCGCTCTACTCCTGTCTATTGGTGTGTTCTTTTGTTTCCATTCATTTTCTCATGGCTGTTGAGCTGGCTATAGCTTAACTGCTTAAAAACACACAATGCTGCTGTAGCTTCTCTCTTTCTTTGCAGCAGCCTGCCGCGCTTGCTAACGCTTCGCTTCTCTCTCCGCCTCTCCCTCTCTCTCTACGCCTTTCTTTCTTTCTCTCCTCCCTCTGTTCTAGACTGGCCAGTAATGGTGTTGCGTCTCTCCTCAGCGACTCTGCGCTGTCGGCTCGACGTGAGCAGCGCCGGGAACAGTACCGGCAGGTCCGAGAGCACATGCGCCGCGATGACGGCATTATGCAAGCCTGTGGCTGGAGCGTACCGCCACGCTTCAAACAGGTACCGTCTCTCATCCACCTGTCCGTCTGTACGGCCGTTTGCCCACCAAGCTGAGTGTTTAGCAAGCATTCAGCGTCCAAGTAAAATGCCATCCATGCCATCCCAGCTCTGCAGATTTTGCTGCGAAGAGACAGAATCATTAGATCATTTGTTTTGGGACTGTCCATATGTAGCTTGTTTTTGGTTGCAGATCCAGGAATGGCTGAATAATTGCAACATTTACCTGGAGCAAACTCTGCAAATAGCACTGCCGGGTGATTTGAAAAGTCATAGTCAATCGATCAATAATTTAATAATACTTTTAGCAAAAATGTTTATCTTAATTTACAATCTGTAGAAACTATGATCAATCAATCAAATGTATTTATAAAGATGTCACAAAGTGCTATACAGAAACCCAGTCTAAAACCTCAAACAGCAAGCAATGCAGATGTATAAGCAAGATTCTGAACTTTTGTGAAACATCACAGCACAGTTGAAAAATATATGGCGAATAGAAATCAAACTGGATGGTCTTCAGAGATAGATGGGAGGGGTTGAGGGTAGCTGAAGGATGGGATTAAAAACAAACAAATAACTATTGTAAAATACATTGTGTCCTTAAAATGTAAATAGTACGTATACAGTGCATTCTGAAAGTATTCAGACCCCTTGACAGCCTTATTCTAAAATGGATAAAATATTTTTTCCCCTCATCAGTCTACACACAATACCCCATAATGACAAAGTGAAAACATATATATTTACTTTTGTGCATTTTTTTATTTTTTTTTAAGAAGAAGAAAACGGAAATACCTTATTTACAGAAGTATTCAGACCCTTTGCTATGAGACTCGAAATTGAGCTCAGGTGCATCCTGTGTCCATTGATCAGGATTGTGTCGAGGCACAGATCTGGGGAAGGGTACCAAAACATTTCTGCAGCATTGAAGGTCCCCAAGAACACAGGCCTCCATCATTCTTAAATGGAAGAAGTTTGGAACCACCAAGACTCTTCCTAGAGCTAGCCGCCCGGCCAAACTGAGCAATCGGGGGAGGAAGGGCCTTGGTCAGGGAGGTGACCAAGAACCCGATGGTCACTCTGACAGAGCTCCAGAGTTCCTCTGTGGAGATGGGAGAACCTTCCAGAAGGACAACCATCTCTGCAGCACTCCACCAATCAGGCCTTTATGGTAGAGTGGCCAGACAGAAGCCACTCCTCAATAAAAGGCACGTGACAGCCCGCTTGGAGTTTGCCAAAAGGCACCTAAAGGACTCTCAGACCATGAGAAACCAGATTCTCTGGTCTGATGAAACCAAGATTGAACTCTTTGGCCTGAATGCCAAGCGTCACGTCTGGAGGAAACCAGGCATCGCTCATCACCTGGCCATTACCATCCCTACGGTGAAGCATGGTGGTGGCAGCATCATGCTGTGGATATGTTTTTCCGCGGCAGGGACTGGGAGACTAGTCAGGATCGAGGGAAAGATGAACAGAGAAAAGTACAGAGAGATCCTTGATGAAAACCTGCTCCAGAGCGCTCAGGACAACGACCCTAAGCACACAGCCAAGACAATGCAGGAGTGGCTTCGAGACAAGTCTCTGAATGTCCTTTAGTGGCTCAGCCAGAGCCCGGACTTGAACCTGATCGAACATCTCTGGAGAGACCTGAAAATAGCTGTGCAGCAATGCTCCCCATCCAACCTGACAGAGCTTGAGAGGATCCGCAGAGAAGAATGGGAGAAACTCCCCAAATACAGGTGTGCCAAGCTTGTAGCGTCATTCCCAAGAAGAATCGAGGCTGTAATCACTGCCAAAGGTGCTTTAACAAAGTACTGAGTAAAGGGTCTGAATACTTATGTAAATGTGATATTTCAGTTTTTTGTTGTTGTTTTTTTGCCAAAAATTCTAAAAACCTGTTTTTGCTTTGTCATTATGGGGTATTGTGTGTAGATTAATGAAAAAACAAACAATTGAATCAATTTTAGAATAAGGCTGTAACGTAACAGAATGTGGAAAAGGTGAAGGGGTCTGAATACTTTCCGAATGCACTGTAAGCTGGAAGTAGAAGCCTAAGTGTTGTTGTCCATTAGTTTACTCCAATTAGGGGAGGGGTGGTAGGGTTAGGGGGAAATAATAAAGAAAAAAATATATATGGGGGATTGGAAATGATGCAGACAATTACAATGATGGAAGCTACAATCTATCTGCAATATTAAAGCTGATCTACCCCCTAAATATAAACAAATGTATATAAATAAATATGCCATCCATGTAGCAGTCAGAATATAGCATATAGGGCGGTCTCTCTAACTCTATTTCTCCCATAGACTGGTGCTCAGCTGGACAGTGCACTGGAAGGCCCGCTGAAGAAACAACAGGTAAGTTACACCCATAGAGTCCCCCCCTAACCTAGCATGAGCCGCTCTTAGTTACCCCAAAGACCCGTCACAAGACACATCAACAGACACCACAGTCTGACACAACACCTACTATTAAAGTCACAGGCTCCTTTTCACCTTATTTATCACCTGATTTACTTAATAAAAGGCACATCTCAATAGGTGGTCCAGGTATCCTCATGACATGGCACAAGTGGGGGGGCTTTCCTATTTTGTTCTCTATTTACATTACATTTACATTTCTATTTTACCTTTATTTTTTAGCAGGAGTCCCATTGAGATTTAGGTCTCTCATACAAGGGAGCCCTGCATATACACAATTTATAAATACAACATAATACAAATACAAAATTACAAAACATACTCAAGAGAAACAATCACATTCCTCAGCATAGAGGTCCACAATCAACAATTTGAACTGCCTGAGCGGCACCAATACATATAGTTGCAGGGAGCTCTGTAGATTGTTCCATATATGGGGTGCAAAGAAACCAAAAGCAGATTTACCCATCTCTGTGGAGACCGAAGGGATCTCAAGAGTTAGCCATCCCTGAGACAGGGTTTGGTCATTCGTACATCTAAAGTTTATTAATGATGTTAGGTATGGTGGAAGTTTATTGTTCCCGCAAGCAAGGGGGGAGGCCGATGACATAAGAGGGCACCATCAGACCAACTTCTTAAATGGCCCACTACATGAAGTTTGCACTTGTATCTAGAAAACACTATTTTGCTCAAAACATATTTTGTTTACCTTAAGTGTGTATATATTACTGTATTAAAACCTGGGATATTGTTTTTCAACAGGAAAAGTAAAAAAATAGCTGGAGTGCGTCTTTCAGCCCCTAAGCCTTGTCCCAAGACACACATCAACAGACACCACAGTCTGACACAGCTAACTGACTCAATGACCCTGTCCCTCATGCATGTGAAAAGACGCCACTTAACCTTCTGATACAATATCTACCTAAAACCTAAAAGCTCTGTCACCACAATACACACAACACTTACAGTTGAAGTCGGAAGTTTACATACACTTAGGTTGGAGTCATTAAAACTTGTTTTTCAACCACTCCACAAATGTCTTGTTAACAAACTATAGTTTTGGCAAGTCGGTTAGGACATCTACTTTGTGCATGACAAAAGTAGATTTTCCAACAATGTTTACAGACCTATTATTTCACTTAAAATTCGCTGTATCACAAATCCAGTGGGTCAGAAGTTTACATACACTAAGTTGACTGTGCCTTTAAACAGCATGGAAAATTCCAGAAAATGATGTCATGGTTTTAGAAGCTTCTGATAGGCTATTTGACATCATTTGAGTCAATTGGAGGTGTACCTGTGGATATATTTCAAGGCCTACCTTCAAACTCAGCGCCTCTTTGCTTGACATCACGGGAAAATCAAAAGAAATCAGCCAAGACCTCAGAAAAATAATTGTAGACCTCCACAAGTCTGGTTAATCCTTGGGAGCAATTTCCAAATGCCTGAAGGTACCACGTTCATCTGTACAAACAATAGTACGCAAGTATAAACACCATGAGACAACGCAGCCATCATACCGCTCAGGAAGGAGACGCATTCTGTCTCATAGAGATTAACGTACTTTGGTGCGAAAAGTGCAAATCAATCCCAGAACAACAGCAAATGACCTTGTGAAGATGCTGGAGGAAACAGGTACAAAAGTATCTATATCCACAGTAAAATGAGTCCTATATCGACATAACCTGAAAGGCCGCTTAGCAAGGAAGAAGCCACTGCTCCAAAACCGCCATAAAAAAGCCCGACTACGGTTTGCAACTGCACATGGGGACAAAGATCGTACTTTTTGGAGAAATGTCCTCTGCTCTGATGAAACAAAAAATAGAACTGTTTGGCCATAATGACCATCGTTATGTTTGGAGGAAAAAGGGGGTTCTTGCAAGCCGAAGAACACCATCCCAAACGTGACGCACAGGGGTGGCAGCATCATGCTGTGGGGGTGCTTTGCTGCAGGAGGGACTGGTGCACTTCACAAAATAGATGGCATCATGAGGAAGGAAAATGATGTGGATATATTGAAGCAACATCTCAAGACATCAGTCAAGAAGTTAAAGCTTGGTCGCAAATGGGTCTTCCAAATGGACAATGAACCCAAAGTTACTTCCAAAGTTGTGGCAAAATGGCTTAAGGACAACACAGTCAAGGTATTGGACTGGCCATCACAAAGCCCTGACCTCAATCCTATAGAACATTTGTTGGCAGAACTGAAAAAGCGTGTGCGAGCAAGGACGCCTACAAACCTGACTTACTTACACCAGCTCTGTCAGGAGGAATGGGCCAAAATTCACCCAACTTATTGTGGGAAGCTTGTGGAAGGCTACCGGAAACGTTTGACCCAAGTTAAACAATTTAAAGGCAATGCTACCAAACACTAATTGAGTGTATGTAAACTTCTGACCCACTGGGAATGTGATGAAAGAAATAAAAGCTGAAATAAATCATTCTCTCAACTATTATTCTGACATTTCACATTCTTAAAATAAAGTGGTGATCCTAACTGACCTAAGACTGAATTTTTACTAGGATAAAATGTCAGGAATTGTGAAAAACTAAGTTTAAATATATTTGGCTAAAGTGTATCGACTTCAACTGTACCTCTAACCCAACACACATCAACAGATGCCACACAGTCTGACACACCTCCCTCTAACCCCAAAACCCTGTCCCCAAGGAGACACACATCAACAGACACCACACAATCTGACATAAGCTATTGACACAATGCCCCTGTCCCTCAGTCATGTTAACAGACACCCCACAACCTGCTGACACTGTCCCTCTGCTATATCAACCTACCTCCAACCTCAAAGCTCTTCCCCAAGAGACATCAGATATGTCAATAGTGTGGTTATATGGCTATATGTATACAGCAATGTGGGTTTGATTGAATTGAGTGGTAGTGGGAGTGTCTTCTTCTATTGGAGGTCTTGGAGCAGTTTTGTGATTGGAGGCTTTGTCTGTCTGTCTTCTCCCAGGCCAATGAGAAGGAGGACAACCGCATGAAGAATGTCCCTGTTCCTGTCTACTGTCGCCCCCTAGTGGAGAAGGACCCCAACAGGAAGGTAAACAAACAAACAAACAAATATGTACTTGGTTAAAGCCACAATCTGCAATATTTACCGCTGTTCAATCAATCGTCATGTTAATTAATTATATACAGTGTGGAGAACAAGTATTTGATACACTGCCGATTTTGCAGGTTTTCCTACTTACAAAGCATGTAGAGGTCTGTAATTGTTATCATAGGTACACTTCAACTGTGAGAGACGGAATCTAAAACAAAAATCTAGAAAATCACATTGTATGATTTTTAAGTAATTAATTTGCATTTTATTGCATGACATAAGTATTTGATCACCTACCAACCAGTAAGAATTCCGGCTCTCACAGACCTGTTAGTTTTTCTTTAAGAAGCCCTCCTGTTCTCCACTCATTACCTGTATTAACTGCACCTGTTTGAACTCGTTACCTGTATAAAAGACACCTGTCCACACACTCAATCAAACAGACTCCAACCTCTCCACAATGGCCAAGACCAGAGAGCTGTGTAAGGACCTCAGGGATAAAATTGTAGACCTGCACAAGGCTGGCATGGGCTACAGGACAATAGGCAAGCAGCTTGGTGAGAAGGCAACAACTGTTGGCGCAATTATTAGAAAATGGAAGAAGTTCAAGATGACGGTCAATCACCCTCGGTCTGGGGCTCCATGCAAGATCTCACCTCGTGGGGCATCAATGATCATGAGGAAGGTGAGGGATCAGCCCAGAACTACACGGCAGGACCTGGTCAATGACCTGAAGAGAGCTGGGACCACAGTCTCAAAGAAAACCATTAGTAACACACTACGCCGTCATGGATTAAAATCCTGCAGCGCACGCAAGGTCCCCCTGCTCAAGCCAGCGCATGTCCAGGCCCGTCTGAAGTTTGCCAATGACCATCTGGATGATCCAGAGGAGGAATGGGAGAATGTCATGTGGTCTGAAGAGACAAAAATAGAGCTTTTTGGTCTAAACTCCACTCGCCGTGTTTGGAGGAAGAAGAAGGATGAGTACAACCCCAAGAACACCATCCCAACCGTGAAGCATGGAGGTGGAAACGTCATTCTTTGGGGATGCTTTTCTGCAAAGGGGACAGGACGACTGCACCGTATTGAGGGGAGGATGGATGGGACCATGTATCGCGAGATCTTGGCCAACAACCTCCTTCCCTCAGTAAGAGCATTGAAGATGGGTCGTGGCTGGGTCTTCCAGCATGACAACGACCCGAAACACATAGCCAGGGCAACTAAGGAGTGGCTCCGTAAGAAGCATCTCAAGGTCCTGGAGTGGCCTAGCCAGTCTCCAGACCTGAACCCAATAGAACATCTTTGGAGGGAGTTGAAAGTCCGTATTGCCTAGCGACAGCCCCGAAACCTGAAGGATCTGGAGAAGGTCTGTATGGAGGAGTGGGCCAAAATCCCTGCTGCAGTGTGTGCAAACCTGGTCAAGACCTACAGGAAACGTGTGATCTCTGTAATTGCAAACAAAGGTTTCTGTACCAAATATTAAGTTCTGCTTTTCTGATGTATCAAATACTTATGTCATGTAATAAAATGCAAATTAATTACTTAAAAATCATACAATGTGATTTTATGGATTTTTGTGTTAGATTCCTTCTCTCACAGTTGAAGTGTACCTATGATAAAAGTTACAGACCTCTACATGCTTTGTAAGTAGGAAAACCTGCAAAATCGGCAGTGTATCAAATACTTGTTCTCCCCACTGTATATACCCATTGATTCTTGAAGAATATTACTTATTAATGCTTCAAGAACTTAGCCCATCATAACCAAAAAGTTGTTTTACTCCAATGTTTGTTAACGATGTGTGTAAACAAACTATTGTGTAGTTGTGGTGTGCGGCTGGCGTGGACCTGACGGGATGGAAGACGTGCACTCAGGAAGTGATGACAGTAAAGGCTGCCCCCGGCAACGGCGTTACAAATCCTCTAGCCATAGAGGAGGGAGAGGGAGGAGACGGCAAGAACAACCACAGCTCACCAGAGAAGAGACAGGTACTGTCTGGATGTCTATCTCTTGATCTATATGGTTTGTTAGTTAATTTAGCTATTTGTTTTAGTTTGAAAACATACTTATTGCCACTTCTTCCGTTTCTCAACCCCACCTCTCCCTCCTTTCTCTGTCCCTCCCCCTTTCCTTCCCCCAGTCTAAGGAGCTCCGTGAAACAGACACTATGAGTAGCAGAGTCTGGATCCTGACCAGTACCCACTCAGCCAGCAAGGTGTTAAATAATACTTTTTTGAATCTAATCATTTAATTGTAAGTTGTAATTCAACTTGTTGCTGCCATTTGTACAATTAGTCAAATAATGAAAAAACATTATTATCATTATCAAGGTGGTCATCATTGATGCCAACCAGCCCGGCTCGTTGGTCGACCAGTTCAACGTCTGCAATGCCCACGTGCTCTGCATCTCCAGCGTGCCAGGTTAGCGTCAAACCATAACACGACCACATAAAGTAGAATTCCCCACCTGGATCAAATCTACCGCAACATGACCATAGTACTCAACTACCATAACACAATTACTGACCACCCAGACCCCACGTTCTCTGCATCTCCAGCGTGCCAGGTTAGCGGTCAAACCGTAACACAAACACATAGTACTCTTCTATTAGACCAAATCTACCGCAACTTGACAACTTAGCACCCTACTACCATAATAACACAACCAGATCTACTACCACAACATGACCACATACAGTAGCACTCACCATCTGCACCAAATCTACTGCAAGTTGACCACTTAGTAATCTACTGACATAATAACATGACTAACGACCACCTATCCTACACCCTATCTATTAACGCAACACAACCATATAGCACTCTCCACCTGAACCAAATCTACTACCATAACATAACCATAGTATTCAGATCAAATCAACATACTATTCGGAATATATTCAGACCCCTTGACTTTTTCCACATTTTCTTACGTTACAGCCTTATTCTAAAAATGATTAAATTGTTTTTTTCCCTCATCAATCTACACACAATACCCCATAATGACAAAGCAAAAACAGGTTTTTATAAATTTTTACACAAGTTTCCAGACCCTTTACTCAGTACTTTGTTGAAGCACCTTTGGCAGGAATTACAGCCTCGAGTCTTCTTGGGTATGACGCTACAAGCTTGGCACTCCTGTATTTGGGGAATTTCTCCCATTCTTCTCTGCAGGTCCTCTCAAGCTCTGTCAGGTTGGATGGGGAGCGTCACTGCACAGCTATTTTCAGGTCTCTACAGAGATGTTAGATCGGGTTCGAGTCCGGGCTCTGGCTGGGCCACTCAAGGACATTCAGAGACTTGTGCCGAAGCCACTCCTGCGTTGTCTTGGCTGTGTACTTAGGGTCGTTGTCCTGTTGGAAGGTGAACCTTTCCCCCAGTCTGAAGTCCTGAGCACTCTGGAGCAGGTTTTCATCAAGGATCTCTCTGTACTTTGCTCTGTTCATCTTTCCTTCGAGCCTGACTAGTCTCCCAGTCCCTGACGCTGAAAAACATCCCCATAGCATGATGCTGCCACCACCATGCTTCACCGTAGGGATGGTGCCAGGTTTCCTCCAGACGTGACGCTTGGCATTCGGGCCAAAGAGTTCAATCTTGGTTTCATCAGACCAGAGAATCTTGTTTCTCATGGTCTGAGTTCTTTAGGTGCCTTTTGGCAAACTCCAAGTGGGCTGTCATGTGCCTTTTACTGAGGAGTGGCTTCCGTCTGGCCACTCTACCATAAAGGCCTGATTGGTAGAGTGCTGCAGAGATGGTTGTCCTTCTGGAAGGTTCTCCCATCTCCACAGAGGAACTCTGAAGCTCTGTCATAATGAACATCGGGTTCTTGGTCACCTCTCTGACCAAGGCCCTTCTCACCCGATTGCTCAGTTTGGTCGGGCGGCCAGCTCGAATGATGGGGGCCACTGGGTTCTTGGGAACCTTCAATGCTGCAGAAATATTTTGGTACCCTTCCCCAGATCTGTGCCTCGACACAATCCTGTCTCCGAGCTCTACGGACAATTCCTTCGACCTCATAGCTTGGTTTTTGCTCTTACATGCACTGTCAACTGTGGGACCTTATATAGACAGGTGCGTGCCTTTCTAAATCATGTCCAATCAATTGAATTTACCACAGGTGAACTCCAATCAAGTTGTAGAAACATCTCAAGGATGATCAATGGAAACAGGATGCACCTGAGCTCAATTTCGAGTCTCATAGCAAAGGGTCTGAATACTTATATAAATAAGGTATTTCTTTTTTTAAATTTGTATAAATGTGCAAAAATGTCTAAAAACCTGTTTTCGCTTTGTCATTATCGGGTATTGTGTGTAGATTGATGATATTTCATACATTTTAGAATAAGGCTCTAACGTAACAAAATGTGTAAAAAGGGAAAGGGTGTGAATACTTTCCGAATGCCCTGTAATTCCACATCTACTGAACTAGAATCACGTCTAACGTTTGTGTTTTTGTGTGTGGGTGTGCATGTGTCTCTTTGTGTATGTGTGTGTATTTCTGTGTGTGCGTGCTTGTTTCTGTGTTTGCATATGTGCGTTTCTGTGTGTCTGTCTGCAGCGGCCAGTGAGAGTGACTACCCGGCGGGTGAGATCGTGCTGGACTCTGGGGAGGGTGGTGGTGGTGAGGAGACAGGCGGGGTGGAGGGCATGCTAGCAGGCATCACCCTGGTGGGCTGTGCCACCAACTGTAGCGTGGTCCGCAGCAACTGCTCCTCGCGCACCGACACACCCGTACTAGACCGGGGACAAGGTGAGAACCCCAGATATTTATCTACAGTGCCTTCAGAAAGTATTCATATCCCTGAATTCCAAATGGATTAAATATATGTTTTTTCTCACCCATCTACACACAATAACCCATAATGACAAAGTGAAAACATGTTTTTAGAAATGTTAGCAAATTTATTGAAAATGAAATACAGAAATATCTCATTTACATAAGTATTCACACCCCTGGGTCAATACTTTGTAGAAGATCCTTTAGCAGCAATAACAGCTGTAAGTCTTTCTGGGTAAGTATCTAAGAGCTTTTATATCTGTTTGGGCTTTTTGCAGTCAATTTGCAGTCTAAAAACTATTCATAATTATGTTCCGGCCCCCTGACCATACACTCAAGAAAAAATCGGCCGGCGGCTGAATCTAGTTGATGATCCCCGCTGTACAGGTTTACTTATTTTTCCTCTGTCAATTAGGTTAGTATTCTGGAGTAACGACAATGTTGTTGATCCATCCTCAGTTTTCTCCTATCATAGCCATTAAACTGTAACTGTTTTAAAGTCACCATTGGCTTCAAGGTGAAATCCCTGAGCGGTTTCCTTCCTCTCCGGCAACTGAGTTAGGAAGGACGCCTTTGTAGTGACTGGGTGTATTGTAATTAATAACTTCACCATGCTCAAAGGGATATTCAATGTCTGCTTTTTCTTTTCTTTTTTTATCTACCAATAGGTGCCCTTCTTTGTGAGGCATTGGAAAACCTCCCTGCTCTTTGTGGTTGAATCTGTGTTTGAAATTCAATGCTCGACTGAGGGACCTCACAGATTGTAATTGTATGTGTGGGGTACAGAGATGAGGTAGTCATTAAAAAATCATGTTAAACACTATTATTGCACACAGAGTGAGTCCATGCAACTTATTGTGTGACTTGTTGAGCAAGTTACTCATGAACATATTTAGGCTTGCCTTAACAAAGGGGTGTGAATACTTTCTGAAGGCACTGTACTTTACACTGTGTATGTGTCATCAAGCTTGCAATGAGAAAATATAGGCTTTAATTGCGGCACAATTCTTCTTCTTCTTCTTGTCTTTCCTCCCTGTGTCGCTGATGTGGCTCCCCCTCTCAATGGGAGGCTGATTTCGGCTGATTTCGGCTGAATCTAGTTGGGGACCTCTGCTATATACAGTGAGGGAAAAAAGTATTGGATCCCCTGCTGATTTTGTACGTTTGCCCACTGACAAAGACATGATCAGTCTATAATTTTGATGGTAGGTTTATTTGAACAGTGAGAGACAGAATAAATAAATAAAAATCCAGAAAAATGCATGTCAAAAATGTTATGAATTGATTTGCATTTTAATAAGGGAAATAAGTATTTGACCCCTCTGCAAAACATGACTTAGTATTTGGTGGCAAAACCCTTGTTGGGAATCACAGAGGTCAGACGTTTCTTGTAGTTGGCCACCAGGTTTGCACACATCTCAGGAGGGATTTTGTTCCACTCCTCTTTGCAGATCTTCTCCAAGTCATTAAGGTTTCGAGGCTGACGTTTGGCAACTCAAACCTTCAGCTCCCTCCACAGATTTTCTATGGGATTAATGTCTGGAGACTGGCTAGGCCACTCCAGGACCTTAATGTGCTTCTTCTTGAGCCACTCCTTTGTTGCGTTGGCCGTGTGTTTTGGGTCATTGTCATGCTGGAATACCCATCCACAACCCATTTTCAATGCCCTGGCTGAGGGAAGGAGGTTCTCACCCAAGATTTGACGGTACATGGCCCCGTCCATCGTCCCTTTGATGCGGTGAAGTTGTCCCCGTAGCAGAAAAACACCCCAAAGCATAATGTTTCCACCTCCATGTTTGACGGTGGGGATGGTGTTCTTGTGGTCATTCCTCCTCCTCCAAACACGGCGAGTTGAGTTGATACCAAAGAGCTCGATTTTGGTCTCATCTGACCACAACACTTTCACCCAGTTCTCCTCTGAATCATTCAGATGTTCATTGGCAAATTTCAGACGGGCCTGTATATGTGCTTTCTTGAGCAAGGGAACCTTGCGGGCGCTGCAGGATTTCAGTCCTTCACGGCGTAGTGTGTTACCAATTGTTTTCTTGGTGACTATGGTCCCAGCTGCCTTGAGATCATTGACAAGATCCTCCCGTGTAGTTCTGGGCTGATTCCTCACCGTTCTCATGATCATTGCAACTCCACGAGGTGAGATCTTGCATGGAGTCACAGGCCGAGGGAGATTGACAGTTCTTTTGTGTTTCTTCCATTTGCGAATAATCGCACCAACTGTTGTCACCTTCTCACCAAGCTGCTTGGCGATGGTCTTGTAGCCCATTCCAGTCTTGTGTAGGTCTACAATCTTGTCCCTGACATCCTTGGAGAGCTCTTTGGTGGAGAGTTTGGAATCTGATTGATTGATTGCTTCTGTGGACAGGTGTCTTTTATACAGGTAACAAGCTGAGATTAGGAGCACTCCCTTTAAGAGTGTGCTCCTAATCTCAGCTCGTTACCTGTATAAAAGACACCTGGGAGTCAGAAATCTTTCTGATTGAGAGGGGGTCAAATACTTATTTCCCTCATTAAAATGCAAATCAATTTATAACATTTTTGACATGCGTTTTTCTGGATTGTTTTGTTGTTATTTTGTCTCTCACTGTTCAAATAAACCTACCATTAAAATTATAGACTGATCATTTCTTTGTCAGTGGGCAAACGTACAAAATCAGCAGGGGATCAAATACTTTTTTCCCTCATTGTATGTTGGTTTATATATCCCAGCAAACACACTACCACCACTAAACGTTGTTGATATGTCTCTCCCTGTGTCCCTGTCCTCCCCCACCCCCAGCCCTGGTAGCTCCCCCTCTCAGTGGGAAGCTGCACCCAGCCCAGTCAGTTGAAGAGTTATGAGTATAGTTAATAAGCCTTCACATGTTTTTTAAATTCCGATATGATATCGATAGTAAATAAAACAAATTTCAACTGATATCGATAGGGACTTTCCATATTAGTGCCAATCTCTAGTTAATAGGTATAGTTGGTATAGTTATAGTAGTATATAGGGTATAATGTCTCTCCCTGTGTCCCTGTCGCCTCAGCCCCCATGGCTCCACCACTCAGTGGGAAGCTGCACCCAGCCCAGTCAGCAGAGGAGGCCACAGAGGCTACAGAGGTGGCTGAGCCGGCCGCCAAAGAGACAGACGACACCTTGGGACCTCCAGGGCCCTTCATGGAGCACGTCTTCACAGACCCCCAGCCTCCAGTGGTTGATGCTGGCCAATACGACCGGTAAGACACACGATTTGACCAGATTTTAATTGCTAGTAGTTGTAAAGAGAGGGAATATTGCCAGTACATTTTTGAAAAGTTGTCATTAAAAATGTTCAGTTTTAAAAATGTTACTGAAAGTTTATTTACAGTGAGCTCCATAATTCATTGGACAGTGACTTTTTTTGTTATTTTGGTTCTGTACTCTAGCACTTTGAGTTTGAAAGGATACAATGACAATGAGGGTGAAGTGCAGACTGTCAGCTTTAATTTGAGGGTATTTTCATATATATCGGATGAACTGTTTAGAAATGATAGCACATTTTATACATGGTCCCCCCATTTTAAGGTACTACAAGTATTTGTTAAATTGGCTTCACAGATGTGTGTCGTTAGGCAGGTGTATTCATTTGTGTCGTTAGTGAATGCAGGAGAGTTGTTGATGAATAGCATTGATTCTAGACTTTGCTATTGCCTTTGGAGGTTGTTGTTGTGGTGTGACAACATGAGGAAGACAGCAGTGTCGATGCAAATGAAGCTGGCCGTCATAAGGCTCAGAAATGAAAATCAATCAATCAGGAACATTGCAAAAACCCTGGCCATGCCCAAGTCAACAGTTTGGTTCATCATTAACAAGAAAAAAACAACCGGTGAACTCAATTATGTCAAAAGACCCGGTAGACCGAGGAAGACCACTGTAGTGGATGACCGGAGAATACTCTCTATGGTGAAGAAAACCCCCCTGACAACAGCCCAACAGATCAAAAACACTCTCCTGGATGCAGGTGTAGATGTGTCAAAGTCTACCATACGTAGAAGACAACACCAGCAGGACTACAGAGGGTACACTACAAGATGCAAACCACTGATAAGCCTGAAGAACAGAAAGGCGAGATTACAGTTTGCTAAAAAGCACCTAAAAGAGCCCCAAGAGTTCTGGAAAAAAGTATTGTGGACAGATGAGACAAAGATTAACATGTACCAGAGTGATGGAAAGAGGAAAGTGTGGAGAAAAAAAAGAAATGCCCATGATCCAAAGCATACCACCTCATCCGTGAAACATGGTGGAGGGGGTGTTATGGCTTGGGCCTGTATGGCTGCCAGTGGAACAGGCTCACTTGTCTTCATCGATGATGTGACGGCAGACAGAAGTAGAACAATGAATTCTGAAGTCTATAGAAATATTTTATCTGCTCAGATAAAACCAAATGCCTCCAAACTCATTGGACGGCACTTCATCATGCAACAAGACAATGACCCTAAACATACTGCTAGAGCAACAAAGGGGTTTTTGATGGCCAAAAAGTGGAAAATCCTTGACTGGCCGAGTCAATCACCGGATCTGAATCCAATTGAACATGCATTTTACATGCTGAAGAGGAGACTGAAGGCAATAAGTCCCCAAAATAAGCAGGAACTGAAGATGGCTGCAGTACAGGCCTGGCAGAGCATCACCAGGGAAGATACCCAGCGTCTGGTGATGTCAATGCATCGCAGACTTCAAGCAGTCATTGCATGCAAAGGATATGCGACCAAATATTAACAATGATTACTTTATTCTACATTATGTTAAACTGTCCAATGTTTTTTGATGCCCGAAAAAGGGGGGGACCATGTACAAAAGCTTCTATAATTTCTAAACGGTTCATCCGATATGTATGAATATACCCTCAAATTAAAGCTGACAGTCTGCACTTCACCCTCATTGTCATTGTATCCTTTCAAACTCAAAGTGCTAGAGTACAGAACCAAAATAACAAAAAAATTGTCACTGTCCAATGAATTATGGAGCTCACTGTACATGCACGTTAGTTTGATTTGATTTAGATTTAGTCTAACCTCTACTATTTAAATAATTTAGTCATCTCTCAAAATTTCTGCCGAGACAATAAAGCTAACATGCTACAGTAGTTGGATTTGCCACCGTGTGGACCGTGGTAGTCTCTAGTGGACTTCAAGACAAGTCTCTGTTTGTGTACCCTGTCAGGTGTGCAGGCCAGTCGAAAGAAGAGTCGAACTCCCCACCCCAGGAGACGGAGGATGGAAGCGACGACCCCAAAGCTGACACCAGTGTCGCCCCCACCATGTGGCTGGGAGCACAAAATGGCTGGTGGGTAACTAATCACTAAATGCCTAGCTAGCGGCGGAAATGTAATATTGGACATCATAGTGATGTTGTTTACTGGTTGTTTTCTGGTTTTCTAAAAAGGTGAGAGAAGAAAATCATTTTACAACTCTTGACCACAATGTCACAAAAAACGTCATCATGATTTTTTTTTTTTTTTCGCCAACCAGTTTTGCCTGCAAATGTCTCCCAACCCATAACCCATAACCCTAACCTATAAAACCCTGTCTCTATCTGTCCTTTACATCCTTTCTCCAGGCTTTACGTCCATTCGGCAGTGGCCAACTGGAAGAAGTGTCTCCACTCCATCAAACTGAAGGACTCTGTGCTCAGTCTAGTGTAAGTCCCCCACTACTGACCACTGTCTGCTTTTAGAATGGCCATTTTTACCAGTCCTTGATTTATGTTGTAGTAAATGGGTGCATGTTGCTTTGTGTAAAGTTGGCTTGATTGTCTCTGTTTCAGGCATGTGAAGGGTCGTGTGCTTGTGGCTCTGGCAGATGGGACACTGGCTATCTTCCACAGATCTGAGGGTAACATAAACTTAACCCTAACCTACCTAGTTCTTCTGAGCTCTCACTTATTAACCTTAACCATTAACTGTTTGTTGTGCTCAAAAAATGACATTCCATGAGAGCAACATAGCAACAGTACTTTTTCTAATCATGATTTAAAGCTTTACATCATTTGTTTATGTGTGTGCATGTGTCTGTGCGCGTGTCTGTGTGTGTGTGTGTATCTCTGTATCTCCAGATGGGCAGTGGGACCTGTCTAACTACCACCTGATGGACCTGGGTAGACCGCACCACTCTATCCGCTGCATGGCCATGGTCCATGACAAGGTGTGGTGTGGCTACAAGAACAAGATCCACGTCATCCAGCCCAAGAGCATGCAGATAGAGGTGGGTCACAGGAGGGGTAGAGGAAGTTGCAAAGTAACCTTTTCTGAGACCTGGAGACTCACGTTAGCTTCCAGACACAATGTCAAGACATGAGCACAGTGGGCTAACACAGTCTTGAGTCTATCTGCAGTTATGTCGCAGATAGAGATGGGTTGGGGAGAGGTCATGTAATGTCGCTCCACATTGATAATATTCTGAAATAAATCAATGTAAATCAATCAACCAATCTTCCCTTCTCCACCCTTCACCCCCCTACCCCCTCTCCCCCGTCAGAAGTCCTTTGACGCCCACCCTCGCAGGGAGAGCCAGGTGAGGCAGCTGGCGTGGATCGGGGATGGGGTGTGGGTGTCAATCCGTCTGGACTCCACGCTGCGTCTCTACCACGCCCTCACACACCAGCACCTACAGGATGTCGACATCGAACCCTACGTCAGCAAGATGCTGGGTAGGAAGAACCTAAGCTAAACAGCAGGAATGGAGTCCATTTCCATTTCAATTCAGTCAATTCAGAAAGTAAACAAAAATTCCAATTCCAGTTTTCCTCTAAGAGAAAGAGGTAGAATTGGAATTGCAGTTTACTTCCTGAATTGACTGAATTGAAATGGAATTGACCCCAACCATGCTATCTAGCTCTGGCTAGGCTGGTTGTCCAATATCTGTTTGTGTTGTATAGCCAATTTTTATGTTTGTTGTCATATCAAGACAATTACTATAGGAGTTGCCAAGACAGCTCAAACAGATCAGATCTGGGACCAGCAGGCTAAGCTTCGGCCAACTCATTGATAGGACACCATATTATTTGACCTCACTTTAGACTATTGAGATGCATCCAATGTATGTGTTCTCTCTCTTCTCTCTCTCGCTCGATTGACAGGTACTGGCAAGCTGGGCTTCTCCTTTGTGCGAATAACAGCCCTTCTGATTGGTGGAAACCGCCTGTGGGTGGGGACTGGGAATGGTGTGGTCATCTCCATACCACTGACAGAGAGTGAGTTTGAGTGGCGCGCACACATGCTTTAACCCTACCTCTTTGATTCCACTATTCTGTGTTTTTGTCTGCTTCTGTATTTTAGTTTCCCTTTCTATACTGAACAAAAATATAAACGCAACATGCAACAATTCAAAGGTTTTACCGAGTTACAGTTCATATAAGGAAATCAGTCAATTGAAATAAATTCATTAGGCCCTAATCTATGGATTTCACATGACTGGTAATACAGATATGCATCTGTTGGGGCGTGGGTCAGAATCTGGTGTGACCAACATTTGCCTCATGCAGCGCGAGACATCTCCTTCTCATAGAGTTGATCAGGCTGTTGATTTGTGGCCTGTGGAATGTTGTCCCACTCCTCTTCAATGGCTGTGCGAAGTTGCTGGATATTGACGGGAACTGGAACACGCTGTCGTACACGTCAATCCAGAGCATCCCAAACATGCTAAATGGGTCACGTCTGGTGAGCATGCAGGCCATGGATGAACTGGGACATTGTCATGCTGAAACCTGAGGTGATGTCAGCGGATGAATGGCACAACAATGGGCCTCAGTATCTCGTCACGGTATATCTGTGCATTTAAATTTCCATAGATAAAATGCAATTGTGTTTGTTGTCCGTAGCTTAAGCCTGCCCATACCATAACCCCACCGCCACCATGGGGCACTCTGTTCATAACGTTGACATCAGCAAACCGCTCGCCCACACAACACCATACACGTGGTCTGCGGTTGTGAGGCCGGTTGGACGTACTGCCAAATTCTCTAAAACGACGTTGGCGGCTTATGGTAGAGAAATTAACATTACATTCTCTGGCAACAGCTCTGGTGGAGATTCTTGCAGTCAGCATGCCAATTGCACGCTCCCTCAAAACTTGAGACATCTGTGGCATTGTGTTGTGTGACAAAACTGCTAATTTTAGAGTGGGCTTTTATTGTCCCCAGCACAAGGTGCACCTGTGTAGTGATCATGCTGTTTAATTAGCTTCTTGATATGACACACCTGTCAGGTGGATGGATTATCTTGGCAAAGGAGAAATGCTCACTAACAGGGATGTAAACAAATTTGTACACAACATTTGAGAGAAATATGCTTTTTGTGCGTATGGACATTTCTGGGATCTTTTATTTCAGCTCATGAAACGTGGACCCAACGCTTTACATGTTACGTTTATATTTTTGTTCAGTGTATATCGGTCTGGTTATTTTTCTGTCTTCTCTTATTCCTTGATGGCTTCTCTTAGTTTTTTCTCTTTCTCTCTTTCTTTCTCTCTATTTTATGGCTGGTATCCCTTTACTTGTCCTCCCTGTCCTGATTGTCACTCTTGTCAACTCTCTCCTCTCCTCTCCTCCCTCCCTCCCTCTCTCCTCACTCCTCCTTCTCGCCTCTCCTCCCTCCTTCCCTCCCTTAGCGGTAGTCCTTCATCGGGGACAGCTCCTAGGTCTGAGGGGTAAGTTAGGACTCATTCTGTCCCACAGGGATGATGTCACATACATCTGCCTGCCTGTCTTACCTCCATCTCGCCTTTATCGCTCTCCAACATAGGCCTGGTTCAGTTTCAGTCCTAAGCACCCTTATTACCCTAATGTTCACATATCTGATAGACTGGATAGGTGTGAGTAATATAGTGATTGGACAGGAGTAAGTTATAGTATATGGCACTTGTAGAGATCTGAGAGGATTAGATAGCCCTCCAACAGGACAAGCACATGTTCGTTCATAAGGCTGCCTGCCACCTATCCAGTCATTTTAGATCTGTCAACCACAAAGGGGACGAGGGGCTAGGGGCCGAAATGGAACAGGGACAGAAACAGTGGTCCGGTGGCCTGAATCTGATTCAGGGAAATCACTTTTGTTCACGTGTAACTCTGCATGCTATCTTCAGGTGTTGTAAAGTACTGTATATAATGCATTGGCACACATTTCGAGTATGGTGTTAATATATGTATATGTAGGAGTCATATTAGTATGCTATTTGTGTGATTAATATGGATCATTTCAGTGACTTAGTCAATATATTAGGTAATGGGGTTTTGGGGATGCCTTGTCCCTTCATTATTGCATGTTGATGGCATGTTTTAATATTGCTACTATTTCAGTATTCAGATTTTTTCTTTTTTACCATCTGTAAATTCATAAGTGGATGACCACAGGCTTATTCAGTGGGTTGCCACGTACAGAGAATTTCAGGTAGAAATGTTATGTATAGAGCCAGCCGACACAGTTTCCTATTCTGCATGACTGAGTGGGATGTCTGTTCTATATTACACATTTCTATTTTAAATGCTCTGTAACGATGTAGCCTGCCCAATTGATGGGTCTTATTGGCAAGCTTGCTCTGTGTGTGCTATTGTGATTGAATGATATCATGCATTAATGTCCTTGTCCTATTCGCTGGTCTGTCAGATGTCAGCTGTTCTGATTGGCTATTGATTCCACTCTCATCCCGATAGCCAATAAGGTGTCTCCAACGTCATCTGGCGGCGTGGCCGGGGGTGTGATTCATGTGTATGCGGACGACAACCCAGAGAAAAGCAGCGGCAGCTTCATCCCATACTGCTCCATGGCCCAGGCTCAGCTCTGTTTCCATGGACACAGAGATGCCGTCAAGTTCTTTGTCTCTGTGCCAGGTCAGTTAGTAATCATAATTTGATTTGATAAACGCATTAAATCAAATGTGTAGTTCTTGACTAACTAAACAAGTATTATACCTACTGTCAATACTCTCAACTTGATGTATTTGAAGACTGTGAGGATGGACGAGGTTGTCAACTGGGCACTAAAATGCAAAAGTGGTTCACAGTGTTTAATTTGTGGGTATCTATTGGTAAGGTCCTTTAGTACTATGTGACAACTGCTGATGTAAAAAGGGCGTTATAAATACAATTGATTGACTAATCTGTTTCTCATTACCTGTTTAAAAAAAAAAATATATATATATATAATATTTAATTTTATTTTTCTGTTTTTCTGTCAGGCAACGTGTTGGCCACCCTAAATGGTAGTGTGCTGGACAGCCCGTCAGAGGGTCAGGGGTCCTCGGCACAGCCGGAGGCTGAGGCTCAGAGCGTACACAACGTCCTGGTGCTGAGTGGAGGGGAGGGCTACATCGACTTCCGCATCGGTGAGGAAAATCACACACTCACTCAGTCACGCATGCACACACACACTGCCATATACACCCAAGTCAATGTGGCGCTCTTTTGAATTACTACTACTTGTCTCCAGATTCTCTACCCTTCTGCCCTAGTTGTGCACTTGTTCATTTCACTTTATGGATTTAAAATACCAATCCAATGCTTTTATGTGTGGATGTGCAGAAACACTTCAGTACAAAGGTGACAGACACCGTTCATGTTCATGTTCATGCTGACTGACTCTCACTTCATCTGTGTGTCAGGTGATGGCGAGGACGACGAGACAGAGGAAGGGGAGGTGCCGGGGGGCGCCCCGCAGATGAAGCCTGCCGTGTGCAAAGCCGAGCGGAGCCATATTATCGTGTGGCAGGTGTCCTACGTCCCCGAGTGACACTCCCACCCTCAAGGGTCACCTTGCATCCCCCTGTCCCCCCTTATTGCGCCCAGATTATCACCCCCTTCCCCCATCCTAAAACTAACCCACCCTACCCACCCCGCTCCTCCCTGCCCCTGTATCTACCCCTGGTCATGATGTAACTATCCCTAGGCTTGGGAACGACCCCTCAGCCCCTGTACGTACTATTACACCCCTTTTAACTATCGATATCCCTCCAAAGACCTTGTAACTACCTATTGCCTTGTAAGTATCACTCCCCCAGTCCAGTAACTTTCCAAATACCTTGACTATGACTACCCCCTTCCCCTCCCTCCCTCGCCCTGTTTCTTGCCGCTTCTACCAATGTAATTATCTCCCCCCACCATGAGCCTTGTAACTACCCCTGCCTCCTAACTACCTCCGCTACCCTGTACCTACTCCCTAAGGCCTGGAGTATGTCTTAAATGGCACCCTAGTCCCTATATGGTGCATTACTTTTGATCAGGGCCCATATGGCGCTGGACAAAAGTAATGCACTATATAGGGAATAGGGTGCCATTTCAGACGTACCTGTATTTATTTACCCTGGAAGTACATCTGTATCGCTCCTGTATTGACCTTTGACTTGTAATGGCTTCCATCTGCCCCCAAGCTACTCCCTGATACCTACAATCACCCCTAACCCCTCCCTTTCTTGCCTTGCCCACCTGCATCTTACCAACAACACAAGTACAGGAACATTAAAGACTACTGCGTATTATAACGCCTCTCCAGAAATTACCCAAGATTTGCAGCAACAGCCAACCAGTAATCCCAAAACTATTTATGGTATGACTTACTAAGACCCTCTCCTCCAATCAGCTTTCAGCTCACTGAACCACGCTGGAAACAGAGACAGCTGATTGGTCAAGAGGGATTCAGAGATGGGCGGAGTGAGTGACACGGTCACTAGCAGCTCATTGGTGAGTTGAATGTAGAGAGAGAGAGACTGACAGTTGATTGATTGGTTGGTTCAGGGTGATTTTACCTCAGCCAGCTGTTAGTTAGAAGGTGAGGAGACGTTGTTGAATGTACTGGGAAAAAACAAGATCAGTCTTGAATGCATTGGCCTGTAAATACAGTGAAGTTTGATCAGGAGGTGTGCAGACCTATGGTTCCTTGTCAAAAGTAGTGTACTATATAGGGAATAGGGTACCATTTGGGATACGGATGTAGTTAAAATCATGGGGGATGACTGAGACAGTAAATCAGGTGTAGTGGAGAACAGAGAAACTCTTTTTTTGAAACTGGGATTTTGATTGTTCCACGTTAGAAGCAAGTTTCCAGACAGCCTTATGGACATAGATTGGCCGTGTTTGAATATGTGATGTGGGTAAATTGTGACTGACTGATTGATCTACAAATAATAATGAGTAGTTATTTATGATGTAAGGTGATTTTTAGATCAGTCAGTCGGCTGCACTGTCGATCAAACCCAAACTCTCCTGTAGAGAAAATGGACAGGTAAAGAGGCTGAGTTCTATTTCGGCCTTTGTAAAAACCTATCTAGACGAGGCTAGGGACCGTAATGTAACCGTGCCAAATAGTGGAAGGAGAGAGAGAGCCAGGCATATCCTCGAGCTGTGAGCTGATTGGTTCCTAACTGATTCAACAACTGCCCACTCTACTCTGATTCGCTGTTCCCAGACTGACAGTTGGACAGTGAGGTTTGTGCATGGTCGCCTGTTTTGAGTAACAGGTGTCATTGAGGATTCTGTAACTCTCCAGACATGCCCAAGGCCCCTTCCCCTCTTGTTCAGTATGTAACTCATATGTTCATCTCTTTATCTGTGTGGATTAAATATTAAACCTATTTGTGCGCTGAGAACCAGAGGCTATGTTGTCTGTCGTTCTCTTCTCTGTTGGTTGACTTATTTTCAACCTTATTAGTGATCTTTTTTTTATTTGACTTTTTGAATTAGGACCAGGATTCAATCTGATTGCAAGGCCAACCTATGCCGCATATAAAGATAATTTCCCATTGGCGTTTGCCGTGAATGCAGTCTCCGTGAACGCGGGAACATTACCTTTAAAAGGTGCATAGCCGACAAAATGCGATCAGATTAAGGACTCAAATTAATTTGTATCACAGATTGTGTGATTGAAATTTAAAGGTCATTTCCGATTGAGCAGCGTTTACTGTGAATGCGGTCTCAGCTAACGCGGGAACATTGCCTTAAAATGTCTATTTTAAGAAACTTCCGAGATACAGATTGAATTGAAAGTGTACAAATAATGTATGAAATGGCATCCTGTGAGACCAAACCCACTTTAAGTAACAAGGACAGTGGTTCAGATTCGGAAGAGTGAAGCTCAAGTCCATTTGGAACATTCCCTGTCAACTTTAGGCACCTTTAACAAATCAAATCAAATCAGAATGTATTTGTCACATGAGCCGAATACGATAGGTGTAGACCTTACTGTGAAATGCTTACTTATAAGCCCTTAACCAACAATGCAGTTCAAGAAAGAGTTAAGAAAATATTTACTAAATAAACTAAAGTAAAAAATTAAATAAAATACAAATAAAAAGTAACACAATAAAATAACAATAACGAGGCTATATACAGGGGGTACCGGTACCGAGTCAATGTGCGGGGGTACAGGTTAGTCGAGGTAATTTGTACATGTAGGTAGGGGTAAAGTGACTATGTATAGATAATAAACAGTGAGTAGCAGCAGTGTAAAAACAAATGGAGGGGGGAGGTGTCAATGTAAATAGTCCGGGTGGCCATTTTATTAATTGTTAAGCAGTCTTATGGCTTGGGGGTAGAATTATTTTTTTTTCTCACCCATCTACACACAATACCCAATAATGACAAAGTGAAGACATTTTTATAGAAAGGTTAGCACATTTATTGAAAATTAATTACAGAAATATTACATTTACATAAGTATTTACATGTTGCAGGTGTGGTAATTCAACCGCTGCAAACCCTCCCACTTGCTGGCCAACGGATTTTCTCATGGAGTTTTCATTCAATAGGATTTTCAGTACATTTATCTTAAGCCATCCCTTTAAATTCGGTGTACCTTTTAGTTTGAATTTTGTCGACAGACTCAATAGAATATATCTAGTTATATATATCGGGTTCAGAATATTAGGGATGAATGAAAGAAAGCCATCTAAATATATGCATATTCGTCTCCGTTTCAGCACCAATTGGTAGATTAAAAAATACTCTGATATTGTACACTGAACAAAAATATAAACGCAACATGCAACAGTTACTGAGTTACAGTTCATATAAGGAAATCAGTCAATTGAAATAAATAAATTAGGCTCTAATCTATGGATTTCACATGACTGGTCACAGATACCTTTAAAAAAAAAAGGTAGGGGCGTGGATCAGAAAACCAGTCAGTTTCTGGTGTGACCACCGTTTGCCTCATGCAGCGTGACACATCTCCTTCGCATAGAGTTGATCAGGCTGTTGAATGTGGCCTGTGGAATGTTGTCCCACTCCTCTTCAATGGCTGTGCAAAGTGGCTGGATATTGGTGGGAACTGGAATACGCTGTCGTACACGTTGATCCAGAACATCCCACACATGCTCAATGGGTGACATGTCTGGTGAGTATGCAGGCCATGGAAGAACTGGGACATTTTCAGTACATTACATTTTCAGTACATTATGTACAGATCGTTGTGACATTGGGCCGTGCATTATCATGCTGAAATATGAGGTGATGGCGGCAAATGAATGGCACGACAATGGGCCTCAGGATCTTGTCACGGTATCTCTGCATTCAAATTGCCATCGATAAAATGCAATTGTGTTCGTTGTCCGTAGCTTATGCATGCCCATACCATAACCCCATCGCCACTCTCTTCACAATGTTGACATATGCAAATCGCTCGTCCACACAACACCATACACGTCTGGCATCTTCCCAGCACAGTTGAAACCGGGATTCATCTGTGAAAAGCACACTTCTCCAGCGTGCCAGTGGCCATCGAAGGTGAGCATTTGCCCACTGAAGTCAGTTACGACGCCGAACTGCAGTCAAGACCCTGGTGAGGACGACGAGCACGCAGATGAGCTTCCTTGAGGTGGTTTTTGAGAGTTTGTGCAGAAATTCTTCGGTTGTGCAAACCCACAGTTTCATCAGCTGCCCGGGTGGCTGGTCTCAGATGATCCCACAGGCATAGCCGCGGGATGTTGGGTGCTGAGGGTGATGCAGCACCCCCTGAAAATCAGAATATTAGTTTTTTCTTCTTTTTAATCACGAAAGTAGTACACTGGGCCTTTACTAGTATTAGCGGACTGAAATAGACATCTGTAGTGCAGGCAAAAAACATGTTTTCATCATCTCTGCATTATAATTAAGAACAGTAACTTAAAGGATTCAATAGTTGGAATTGTAAGAGTTGTTGCCCTGTCCCATTATCTGCGATTGTCATTCTAATGGAATCCAGAGACAACGAAACCCTGTCCTCAAACATTTACATCAAAAGGTGCAAAGTTATGGGCAAAGACACAAAACTTCCACATCAAATTAAATATTTTTCTTGATCAAATAACATGGAAAACAACCACTTTTTGGGTAGTATTAATTTACCATCCTTACAAACCACTTAATGTAAATTTACATGACTGTTTTGTACATAGGCTGGTCATCTAGGTTTGTACCTGTAGACTTTTCATCACCATGAAGAAAAACAATGCACAATACAGTAATTGAGCACATTCAGACATCAAGTGGTTTGTGATGATGTGATGTGATGATGTGGCTCAGTTGGTAGAGCATGGCACTTGCAATGCTAGGGTTGTGTGTTTGATTCCCACGGGGGACCAGTATGAAAATGTATGCACTCACTACTGTAAGTTGCTCTGGATAAGAGCGTTTACTAATATGGAAAAGGAATGAATAGACCAGTTCAGTTTTCACATAGAAATAAGCTGCATTTGCAAAGTATTTCAAGAAACTGGAAAACATAGTGTATTCAGACCCCTTGACTTTTTCCACATTTTG